GACCCCAAATATACAGAATAAAGAAAGAATATTAAGAGCAGCTAAGAAAAAAGGCCAAATAACATATAAAGGCAAACCTATCAGAATTATACCTGACTTCTCCATGGAAACTCTGAAAGCCAGAAAGTCCTGGATAGATATTCTGCCAACACTAAAAGACCATGGATGCCAGCACAGACTACTATACCCGGTAAAGCTATCAATCACTATAGATGGAGAAAACAAGATATTCCATGACAAAACTAGATTCAAGCAATACGTATCCACTAACCCAGCCCTACAGAAAGTTCTGGAAGGAAAACTCCAATCCAAGGAAGTTAACTACAACGAGAAAAACATAGGCATTAGATAATCCCACTTTACCAACAGCCAAAAGAACAAAGGGATGGAATTCCACACATAATTCCACCACCAACAATGATTCCAAATCAAAGAAGAATGAGCAATCAATGGTCATTAATATCCCTCAATATTAATGGCCTTAACTCACCCATAAAAAGACACAGGCTAACAGAATGGATTTGAAGACAGAACCCATCCTTCTGCTGCATACAAGAAACACACCTCACCATCAAAGACAGACATTACCTGAGAGTTAAAGGTTGGGAAAAGATTTTCCAATTAAATGTACCCAAGAAACAAGCAGGGGTAGCAATCCTAATATCTAACAAATTAGACTTTAAAATAAAATCAATCAAAAGAGATGAAGGAGGTCATTACATACTCATCACAGGTGAAATCCACCAAGATGAGGTTTCGATCCTGAACATCTATGCCCCAAATACAAAGGCACCCATGTTCATAAAAGAAGCATTACTAAAACTTAAATCACATATAAAGTCCCACACACTTATAGTAGGAGATTTCAACACCCCACTCTCACCACTAGACAGGAATACCAGACGGAAACTCAACAAAGAAGCAAAGGGTCTAATAGAAGTAATGACCCAACTGGGATTAACAGACATCTATAGAACATTTCATCTACATAAAAAAATATATACCTTCTTCTCACGATCACGTGGAACCTTCTCAAAAATCGACCAAATACTTGGCAAAAATATCAAACCTCAGCAGCTACAAAATTTGGAATGACTCCATGCATCTTACCAGACCACTATGTGTTAAAATTAGAATTCAACAACAACACAAATTTCAGAAACCCTACAAACTCATGGGAATTGAATAATGCACAACTGCACCATTCCTGGGTCAAAGAAGAAATAAAAAAGATATTAAAGACTTCCTAGAATTGAATGAGAATGAAAACACAACATACCCAAACCTATGGGACACTTTGAAAGCAGTGCTACGAGGGAAGTTCATAGCAATAAGTGGCCACATGAAGAAACTAGAGAATAGGTACACTAAAGAATTAACAGCACAGATGAAAGTTCTAGAACCCAAAGTAGCAAACTCCCCCAGGAGGAGTAGACGCCAGAAAATAATCAAATTGAGGGCTGAAATCAATAAAGTAGAAACTAGGAAAACAATACAAAGAATCAATGCAACAAAGAGTTGGCTCTTTGAGAAAATCAACAAGATAGAGAAACCTTTGTCCAAACTTACCAAACAGCAGAGCATGAACATGCAAATTAACAAAATCAGAAATGAAAAGGGGGACATAACAACGGACTCTGAAGATATTCAGAGAATCATCAGGTCATACTTTGAAAACCTGTACTCCACAAAATTCGAAAATTTAAAGGAAACGGACAATATTCTGGATAGCTATCACTTGCCAAAATTAAATCAAGAACAGATAAGCAATTTAAATAGACCTATAACCCCTATGGAAATAGAAGCAGTCATCAAAAGTCTCCCAACCAAAAAAAAGCCCAGGTCCAGATGGCCTCAGTGCAGAATTCTACCAGAAATTCAAAGAACAGCTTATACCAGTTCTTCTCAAAGTATTCCATGCAATAGAAGCAGAAGGGTCTTTGCCAAACTCTTTCTACGAGGTTTCAATAACCTTGATCTCCAAGCCACACAAAGACACAACTAAGAAAGAGAACTTCAGACCAATATCCCTCATGAACATTGATGCAAAAATACTCAGTAAAATACTGGCAAATCGGATCCAAGAACACATCAAAACAATCATTCACCACGATCAAGTAGGTTTCATCCCAGGGATGCAGGGATGGTTCAACATACGAAAATCCAACAGTGTAATCTACCATATAAACAAGCTGAAAAACAAAAATCACATGATCATCTCACTAGATGCTGAAAAAGCCTTTGACAAAATCCAACACCCCTTTATGATAAAGGTCTTGAAGAGATCCGGGATAACAGGAGCATACCTAAACATAATAAAAGCTATATACAGCATACCAACAGCCAATATCAAGCTGAATGGACAGAAACTCAACGCAATTCCTCTAAAATCAGGAACAAGACAAGGTTGTCCACTCTCTCCATACCTTTTCAATATTGTACTTGAAGTTCTAGCCAGAGCCATACGACAACAAAAGGAAATCAAGGGGATACAAATTGGAAAGGAAGAGGTCAAACTTTCACTATGTGCAGATGATATGATAGTTTACATAAATAACCCAAAGAACTCTACCAGGGAACTCTTACAGCTGATTAACACCTTCAGCAAAGTGGCAGGCTACAAGATCAACTCAAGAAAATCAGTAGCCCTACTATATACAGTTGATAAAAGAGCTGAGAAGGAAATCAGAGAAACATCACCCTTTACAATTGCCACAAACAACATAAAATACCTTAGGGTAGCACTAACCAAACAAGTGAAAGACCTGTATTGCAAGAACTTTGAATCTTTAAAGAAAGAAATTAAAGAAGCCCTCAGAAAATGGAAAGATCTCCCATGCTCTTGGATAGGTAGGATAAACGTAGTAAAAATGGCAATCCTGCCAAAAGCAATCTACAAAGTCAATGCAATCCCCATTAAAACACCAGCACAATTCTTCACAGACCTTGAAAGAACAATAATCAATTTTGTATGGAAAAAACAAAAGACCCAGGATATCCAAAACAACCCTGTTCAACAAGGCAACGTCCGGAGGCATCACCATCCCTGACTTCAAGCTCTATTATAGAGCGATAGTCCTGAAAACAGCTTGGTATTGGCACAAAAATAGACAGGTAGACCAATGGAATCTAATTGAAAGCTCTGATATTAGCCCACCCGTGTATGAACATCAGATTTTTGACAAAGAAGCTAAATATATACAATGGAAAAAAGAAAGCATCTTCAACAAATGGTGCTGGCAAAAACTGGAGGCTGGCATGTAGAAGAATACGGATTGATCCATGTCTATCACCATGCACAAAACTTAAGTGTAAATGGATCAAAGACCTCAACATAAATCCAGCCACACTAAACCTCTTAGAAGAGAAAGTGGGTAGGACCCTTGAGCGAATTGGTACAGGAGACAGCTTCCTGAACATAACACCAGTAGCACAAACAGTGAGATCAACAATTAATAAATGGGACCTTCTGAAACTGAGAAGCTTCTGTAAGGCAAAGGACACAGTCAGCAAGACAAAAAGGCAGCCCACAGAATGGAAAAAAATATTCACTAACCCCACATCTGACAGAGGGTTGATCTCCAAAATTTACAAAGAACTCAAGAAGCAAGTCTCCAAAACACCAAAGGACCCTATTAAAAAGTGGGCTGCAGAACTAAATAGAGAATTTTCAATAGAGGAGTCTAAAATGGCTGAGAGGCACTTGAGAAAGTGTTCAACATCCTTAGCCATCTGGGAAATGCAAATCAAAATAACTCTGAGACACCATCTCACTCCTGTCAGAATGGCTAAAATCAAAAACACCAAAGACAATTTATGCTGGAGAGGATGTGGTGAAAGGGGAACCCTCGTCCACTGCTGGTGGGAGTGCCAACTTGTATAGCCACTTTGGAATTCAGTATGGAGATTCCTCAGAAAAATGGGAAAAAACCTACCACAAGACCCAGCAACTCCACTCTTAGGCATATATCCAAAAGATGTCCATTCATACAACAAGGTTGTCTGTTCCACTATGTTCATAGCAGCATTATTTGTAATATCCAGAACATGGAAGCAACCTAGATGCCCCTCAACCGAAGAGTAGATAGAGAAAATGTGGTACATTTACACAATGGAGTACTACTCAGCAGAAAAAAACAATGGAATCCTGAAATTTGCAGGCAAATGGATGGCGCTAGAAGAAACCATCCTGAGTGAGGTAACCCAGTCACAAAAAGACAAACATGGTATTCTCATTTATGAATTTTAGACATAGATCTGGGGAGTGTCAGCCTACAATCCCATGGCCATAGAGTCCGGGAAACGGAACCTTCATTCAGTGGCTGATGGAAGCAGAGGCAGACTCCCATGGCTAAGCACTGAGCTGAACTCAAGAAATCCAGTGACAGAGAGGGAGGACTGATGACCAAAGGGGTTAAGACTGGGCTGGTTTAACCCCCAGAAACAGCTGACCTGGCAAGGGTTAGCTCTTGAATCCCAGACTGATGGCTGGGAATCCAGCATGGGATTGATCAAGACCCCCTGAATGTGGGTGTCAGTGAGGAGGCCTAGGTAATCTATTGAGCCTTGGGTAGTAGATCAGTATTTATCCCGGGTATACAAATGGGCTTTGGACTCCCATCCAACAATGTGACATGCACTCTCACCCTGAAATCTTGGGGATTGGTCTAGGCCCTGCCCTGGATGAAATGACAGACTATGGTCACCCCCATGTAGGGCCTCACCTCCCTGGGGAAATGAAGGGTTATTGGGAGGGTTGGTGGAAGGACATGGGAGGAGGGAGGGACATGTGAAGCAACATTGTTTCTAATTTAAATTTAAATTTAAAAATAAAAAATATATTAAAAATCCATGTATAGTGATATGATGGGAGGTGTATGTTGACCCACGGCTAAATATTCTACTATTTTTTAATCAATTATAAGAAAAGAAAAAGTACATTATCAGACTCATCTTTCTTTCATATCTATAGAAGATGCAACAAAAACAGCAAACACCAATGCAAACACAAAATCTCATTTATTTTGTTTCCTGATGCACAAAGGAGCTCACTCAGTACAGTAACAATAGCAAATCATACAGATACTGAGGGGAAGGTTGTCCCCTTGACTACATTCACATATATGTATATATTCTTAAGAACAACCATCAAGAGGTTAACAATAAAGTAAGGAATGCTTTCAGATAGGGTTACTGGGTAAGAAATAGACAGATGAGTCACTGCCAAGTAACAGGTTAACAATGACATCAGTTACTTAAGTAACCTGGTAAGAGCCTGCTCAGGACTTACATTTCATTTCATTGTGGACTTGGCTGGCTTTTGCATGTCACTAAATTTGGAATAGATCCACAAGCTAACCCTTCAAACACTCGCTCTCTCACACCCACTGCTGGAGATAGGCAGTAAGGCTAGGGTAGGCTTGGAAACATGCATGGCAATGAATGTTGAGTTGTTTCATTTTCTCAGTGATTTTTCACCTGTCTGCTTCTTCTCAGGCCTTTAGAAACTTTTTCATCCCTTCTCTGGAGACACTATAAAGTGTAGTGTGTGACATCATACCTGCAGCAGCTAGTTGAATAGAAATTGCAAGCATCTCCTTTTGTTTTTATATTTAAAAAGTATTTCAAGCCATTGTCCTTGATACACTTCTCATTCTGTATGTTAGTAGCTAAGGTAACTCTCTGAAAATATTTGAATATTCCAGCAGCAGCAGCAGCAGCTTTAAAAGAGGCTTACAAAGTTCCAGAAGCAACCAGTTCTGGGTATCTCCCACATGTGTGTACACAAGGTGAACTTGACCTGATGCAATGTGCTCTCCAGCATGCCTTGAAGGCTTCCCAGATGTCTGCTTCTGAAGTGAAAAGGCTTAAAAATAGGAATAATCTGCTAGGGAGTGAAGATCCAGAACACACTGCTAGATCTCACAGTCATCAGAGCATTTGCCAGTGGGGATATCCAAGGGCACACTTCAAAATCTGCTAAGCAATGAAGAAGGGGTTTCCTACCATTTCCTTTCATTTAACTTTGAAATGTCTCACTGAAGAAGAAAGGAGACTCTAATGCTCACAGAATTAACTTAGAAAGGCCCCCTTCTGGCATGAAGGTAGATATGTTCTTGGATTGTAAAGTCTTTGACAGTGCAAGTAAAGAACCAGCTGAGATAACACAACAGAGGAGTCCAGTCTCTTTGGCCCCGTAGAAGATTAAACAACTTTTCAAGTTCTAATCTCATATTTTAAATGCCCCCCATCAAATTCAACTTGATTAGCCTATTCTTTTGGTTGCAAGAAATTTTGGAAATACATATGATAATTTTTAATGCTTTTTAACCTTTTATAATGAAGTCCATCAAAAATTCTAGAGAATTGAGATAAATGGTATAGAGTAGGAGGGTGGGATGTTTTATAACCTTCTTTCCTTCCTTCTTTCCTTGTTTCCTTCCTTTTATCTCTTTGTTTATCGCTTTCTTTTAAAGACAGCAAACTATACAAATAAAATGTGACAACTGGAATGGGCTAGGAAGAGTGCCTACCTGTAATTCAGAAAGTCAATCTACATTAGGTAAAGGCAACATTTCAAAGTGCAGGATGTCTGACCCCATGTATGGGGTGCTGAAACAGCATAAGTAACACTCAGGAACACTTCACTTGGGAAAATAGAACACATAAGTTATAAGGGATGCAGAGAGATCAAAGTACATGTAAACACTCCAACACATTGTTTTTATTAGAAGTTATTTAGCTTGTAACACACTATCAAGACTAATATGGATGCTTGCCAGGAGGGTGTCAAATGACTATTATTCCTGCTTCCAGAATACACTTACTTATATTACTAAGTGTGAATCTCAAGTTTAAGTGAAAGCCGATTTTCAATATCAAAATGAACACCCTTGAGTAGATGAGGGTGGGAGCTGCAAAGGCTGGAAGCAGCTGTCTGGCCGAGCTCTTACCCACACACACCTAAGCTACTTGGCCTGTTTCACTCAGCTTAGATGCCCTGTAATTAAGTTCCTATGGCAAGAGTCAAAAGATACAGCAGAAAATACTTGCCAACCTCAGAGAGAAATGGGGGAGGGGATTTGGCAGATCATTTTAATGTTGCTGGTGTGCTTGAAACACTGGATATTCAGACTAAGACCAGAAGTTGGACTTATTCTCTTCTATGTCACAAAACAAAAGCCTATCTTTTTTTAAAAAATAAAACTAAGCAAGACTAAATATTTGTACCATCTTTAGATGTAATGTATATACAACCAAATCTGAAAGTGCTTCTACCAGGAAAATAGATCTGGACAAATTACTGCCAAATTAGCATGCTATGTGAGACTGAGATTTACAGGACTGTACAGGAACTGTGTACTTTCAGACTTGAAAACACAGAATTAGCTCTATTGCCTAAAGTTTTTCTGTTGTAAGATAATATGGAAACTCACCTAAGTCCTGGGAATGAAATGACATGCTAACAAAACCTATTCCCTGTTTTTGATTGTTTATAGGGAGTGAAATAAATTAAGAAAAATGTAGTATCTAAGTAGAACTCATCACTGCTTCCTAAGAATCTGCCATGTGCTTATAATCTGATTTTAATTGTTATAAGGGACATTATGTTAGTTAGGAAAGCTAAAGTGTCTTCTTTTGTTTAGTATTCCTTCATGTCTAGCACAGCAAGCCCTACTAACAGAAACATTAAATGGGATTTCTATAACCTTTTCATTATCCTAAGATTCTAATGCCAGAAAAATCTTAAGGAATTCAAGTGATAATTTGATAAATTGGAGTACTTTCAATCTACAGGCCTTGCAGAGCCTTATCCACTGTTCCTTAAAGGACTTGTACTCGGCTTTTTATTTCTAGCACATTGGTAGGGGGAGAACTTCACAGCCATGATGACACACTGTAGATAGGGCGTTGAGCAAAGAACCCTGTCCTGTTACTGTTAATGGCTCCCTGGGGTGCAGTACTTCCCCAATTTATGAAGACCCCAGTCTATGCAGCAGCAGTACCTGGGGCTTGTTTCTCATCTAATAAAATAGAAGCAATTGTAACACCACACAGCCAGAAATCAAGGTGACTCTGAAGTACACAAAAACACAACTATTTATGTCATGTGGCTATAAGGATACTATCCCTAAGAGACTGTAAATCTTGAATACTCAACATCTGTCAAACACTTGGAAGTACAGAACTATATTTGAAAAGCGTGTGGCATTCGGGTTCTGACATTCATCCCTAAAGAAGGCGAAGCATAACAATAACACATCTCTGAAATGCAAATTCCATAAAGTGCAAATTTCCATGGATTAGGGTCAACCTAGAAGCACATTTTAAAACCCAGTAAGTTCTCTTTTTACATGAGTGTTCTCAGTATTTAATTTCCAAGCACAATCAATGATTTTTTTCAACATCTGTTCACAGTCTAGCTTGTGCCCTTTCATAAAAAATCTACTCAGTGGTACGCACGGAGTCCACTTAGTTCAGAATGTCTAACCACATAGGGATATTTCTTTGCACCATATTTCCCTACATGGAAAGGTTTTACTTCAATATTAGAAGCACAGTGCCAGCTGTTAACACTGCCTTCTGTATGCGCTTAACACAGATCTAAGCAGCCCCGAAGGAGGCACTGTCATGAAATTATGAATGCTCCCAACCAAAGTCGAGGAACAGTGCACTTCCTTTGCACAATTTACCAAGTGAGCACTGTAAGCAGACACAGAAACAGAAGTCATCCGAAGAACACAGCACTTTTTTAAAACATACTTTCTAACCGGCACCTGGGAACAAGGAAGATGCAGAACCATGTCATCCCAGGAGAACATCGTGGATGCCCAAGGGTCTTACACTGAGCTGGAGAACGGAACCACCTGCTTTCCGCCCACATAAACCTCCTCAATATTCCGGTCATCTCCTATAAGAAAAAGCAAAGAATCATTTGTACTGTGCTTTTGGGTCAATAACTGACTTAATTTCCTTTGAAAGAGATTTTAGGGAAAACACGTTTAAAAGAAGAAACAGAAGCAAAAAGGCAGAAGCTCAGTTTCTCCCAGATCATTTATAATCTCCTTGGGATGACTTGATCAAGCGATGACATCGTAGCTCATTGCGAATTGGGGTCTCCATTCTGTATCCTAGGTGGAAATCAACCAATGTTCAATAAACCCCTATCTCTGTGTTGAGCACATTAAGATGAGCAGTCTACAGACTGTGTCCTCTCAAAGTTCAACTTCACCCAGTACTGAGCTAACACAATGGGAAAAGAGGCTACTCTTAGACTCTCCTGGTTCAATTATGTCTCCAGGAATAGAACTCTGACTGTGAGTTCAGTTCTGTCCCAGAACAGAAAGGTTAGGGAAACAGAAGGGATGTAAGAGGGTTTGGCATGGAGCTCTTTTCCCCTCAGGAAGAGTGTACCAGCTCAGGACTTAAGTGTGTTCTTGGGGAATTGCTAGACAGTGTGCCATAGTGCAAGCTCAGTGCTGAGAACTGTTTAAAAATAAATTACCACAATTTGACATTCACAGAGTTTAATGTAATGCACCAAGAACAGAGAGTCTTGACCAAGGAAAAAATTGTATTTGTAGCCCAGAAACATAACTACCCACCTAGATAGAGGAACTTCTGGATAACGGCCTAAAATAGAAAATAAAAGTGGTAAGAAATAGTGCTTTATACATTTAGAAATGAAATATACAGGGAAATGCCATTGGCAAAAATTTTTTAATGACATTTTACATTTTAATAAAACAATCTACAAATGAATAAATGAAAACCTAAGCCCAAAGCAAGCAAACAAACAAAAAAATCACAGTCTATTAGCTATTAACAAATGTTTATTCTCACTAGAATATTATTTATTTATTGGTTTTTGACACAGAGTGTCTCTATATAGTCCTAGAACTTACTATGTAGACCAGGCTGGCCTCTAACTCAAGAAGATATTCCTGCCTTTGTCTCCTTAGTGCTAGGATTAAAGGTGTGCTCCACCATGCCCTGCCTATTACTGGAATATTCTTGACAAACAATCTTGGCATTGTCAGATGCAGAGTATTAAATAAATCAATCAATACAAAAAGGATGCAAATACTTCTAAAGTTGTATAACAGGAAAAAATGACTAAATAAATGAGATGAAGGCTATTTCTCCAACACTCTAATAATAGAACAAATTAATTTTTTAAAACATAAAGACATTTCTTATAAATGAACTAAGTGAATATAACTTACTTTAATAATGATTGTTTTAAAAATAGATCCCCCCCCCAAAAAACCAAAAAAGACAGAAAGGCATTTTATTTAACTTCCCTTTACTTACCTCAGAAATATCACCAACAAAATCCCCATAAAACAGATCAATGGGAGAGTCCGATGCTTTGGGGTTGATCAAGAGGGCGTCAAATTCCTTGCCAACTTCAAAGTTTCCAATCTCACTATCCAGCCCAAGGGCTACAAATGGAAGTGAATAGCAGTCAGAATTACCACTGATTCATTGTGATGCCCTTGCTTGTAAGGACAAACTCAGCCAACATGTACCTAGACCCTTCAAAGGTAGTATCTGAACAGTGAAGCAGAGAAGTACTCTCACACCAACAGGTCACATGACATCTGTGTAGAGAGCAGGAAGTAATTAGCCTGTTCAGCACCACTGTCACCTCAGTTTCAGCTGTCAATGTACTAAACTGAACCCTCAAAGTACCAAGGACAACACAAATCTATCTACCTCATCCTTTCCTCCTCTTCCCCAACACTCCTAGCTTTGCTTTTTTGTTCTGTGAAATAGTTAGTGGTATTTATTTTCGTTGCTGTGAACTGAACCTCAAATTTAAAAAAATCTATGCAAACATTCTAATACAGGCATACTCATCATGAATTCTTTAGTGAGTTTCCTTTTCAAAGTCCAAAGACCCTGTCACTCAAAAGTGCCAGCAATTTTGAAAGGAAGTCACTCTGTAACTTCAAAGGTTTTCTGGTTGCCCTCAAAGAGTGCTTTCCTAAGATAGGGCACAGGCCAGTAATGTCTACTGACTTCTCCCGTCTTATAGCTGTAACCCATGTCCAAAGTCACTGGATGCCAAGGGAGAACATGTTTCTTATTTTATAACACATTAAAGAATGCGCAGGTGTTGGGTTTTGTTGCCAATGATGCTGTTTGATTGACATCTCCTTAAAGCCTGTATTCTGAGAAAGACATTGAGGTCACTGATGTCACTGAGGTCACTGCTCATTACTGTACAGTCTATTCCAAGATTTACTCATACCTGATACATTTTGTCACTGCCAGGGTATTTTATGATGTGGAAATACTGCATATATTTTTATTTTCTCTTCTGGTTTTTCACAATATCTGAAGTTAGACTGCACTCTGGATTTATGTTTTCTGGATTCAAAACATGGCATACTTCACCTTGGCAGCTGCGTGTCCCTAAGATTCCTTTTCTGTAAAAATGAATCTAACAACAGTGGTCATGAGGACACATGCAAGGCATTCACCATACTTCCCAATGGAAAGAATTCAACTATCTTGGCAGTGACTTTTATTGATAGCATTATCACTCAAGAAAATACTTGACTCAATAGAAGAAAGAATTACCTTAACTCATATGCATATGGGTAGTGTAAATATATCTTAAAATAATAAATATGGCAATCATGCATTAAACACTTACCCACCAAAGTGTGAATTCATTGAAAGAAAGGCTGCAGCACCACATGGCTGTGCTTTCGGGATGTTAAATGACATGTATTGGTCATGTAGTATTTGTCTTAGTTCACTATGGTGCACCTTCATGGTATAGCCAAAGACACAGATTGGCATGGCTGTACATGATGTGAGAGAGGAAGTAACTAGTCATTACCTTGGCTTCCTCCAAGGGTGGCCAGTCTGAAGACTTCTTTGAGAGTAAGGCTTTTCTCATTCACCTTATTAATTAGGAGGATGTTGGAAACCATCACTGCTCTTCTGATGGCATCAAGCATGGAATAGGAGTAACCACCAGCCACATCTATGGTAGGAAAGACAAAGCCCACACAATAGCTTTATGAAGGATAGAATAACAGGTATATATGTTGTTTTCTTCCTCTGGTTTTAATGACATCCTACTTGTCAATTTCTAAAAGTTTTCTCATCTGTAAACATATAACTATAAGCCAACATTTAAATGAATTCAAATTTTATCATTTGAATAAAAGCAGAAGTGGTCACTATTTGCAGGAAGGAAAGGAACAAACAAGAAGGAAGCATGGGAACAAAGTAAATGACAACACACATATTAAAATGCTCTAACAAAATCCATTACTTTGCATGCTTATTTTTTTTATGGTTTAACAATTTAACAAATATTTGGCTATTATTTTTTTTTCTTTTTTTATTAATATTTTTTTTATTTTCCATTTTAAATTTAGATAAGAAACAAGGTTGCTTCACAAGTCAGTACGAGGTCCCTCTCCCTTTCCCTCCCCTCCTCCCGTGCCCTCCCCCCATCCCCCCCCGTTATCCCCTCATTCCCCCAGGGAGGGTGAGGCCCTCCATGGGGGTGTCCATAGTCTGTCATTTCATATAGGGCAGGGCCTAGACCCTTCCCCAAGAGTTCAGGGTGAGAGTGCACCTCACATTGTTCTATGGGAGTCCAGAGACCGTGTGTATACTTGGGATGGGTACTGATCTGCTGTGCATGCTTATTTTTAAAAACCATCTTTCATTAAAATTAAATATATTCTGGAATTAGCTCCTAGGATTGCTCAAAACATCACAAGTCTTATGACTTAATACAATAGAAATGAGTTCTCTCATAGTTTTGGCAGTCAGACGTCTAAAATCTAATGGTCAGCAGGGCTGACTGGGGGGGTATAGCTCAGTGGCAGAGTGTGTGCTGAAACTATTCAAGGCCAGCTCTTCAGACCCCAGCACCACTGAAAGTGTCATCAAGGACCTCAACCCTTCAGGAAGAATCCTGATTTGTCCCTTCCAGCTTCTCATACCTCATGGAGACATTGGCTTATGGCAGTAACTCCAGTCTCTTGTCCGTGTTCACGTCACCTTCTTCTCTTGGGTCTTTGTGGCTTTCCTTTTGTGTTCCTACAAGCACTGATCGCTGAGCTTAGGAGCCACCCCATTTCAGAATGAGTTCATCTTGCCAGCATTACCTAGACTATGTCTACAGAAACCTTTAGTCTTAATATGGCCATAGTTGTAGGTTCTAGTAGATTTCTTTTGGGGACCACAACTCAACCCACTATAACATCCACATGGATAATAAAGAGATGCATTTTATTTCTTGAACACTCACAGCAATTACTCAAATATGGCTGTGAAAAGTTTATAATGTGATTTAACATAAACTCACAATTGCATACATTTAAGAAAACGTCTGAGTGTTATTCCAATCTAGATGAAAAGTTTAGAAAATTAAAAACCATTTTTAAACAAAAAAATTTTAAACAATTGTTGAGTGAAGCCTTTTCCTTGCTAGCCGCTTTGGTTTTTCCCCACTAGTCGCCTGGTCTCTGCCGTGTTGTAGTCCCCAAATAACACACAAGACGCTGTTGGCCGTTTGCTTGATTTCTTACTGGCTAGCTCTGACTTAAGTATTTACCCCATAATTGTTATTCTAAGTATTTCTCTTACTGGAGAAAAGGTCTGGACTTCTTACCCCTATCACAGCTACGTCGTGACTCCCTGTGTTTTTCCTTCCCAGAGTCTTCCTCGACTCCTAGTCCCACCTATCTTGTTTTCCTATTGGCCAACAGTGCTTTATTGACATATACATAGGACTTCCCCATCAAACAATAATTCTTCAGAAAGCTTTAGAATGAACTTAGTACAATAAGTTCATTGTACTAAGTTTTAGAAGCAGTACAAAAAATAACCAAGCCTGATATGGACAGCTTCCCATACTTGTTGGCATCACTGAATGAGAAATGAGAGTTTTAGTGACTTAGATTAAGCCCCCTAGTCATAATGAATTGAAACACTGCTTTGGCAGGAACAAATGCAGGCTATGAAATGAGTTGATAGAATGTCAAGTAAGATAGCATGTTTTATTAGAGAATAGATTTTATAACTAATCAAATATCCATTGTAGTTTTAAATGTTCCTGTCATTTCTGGTAGACTTATATGATTATTTAGTGCCTATAAATACTACAATTATCAAAAATAATTGGTTATTTAGTAGCAATTCTGGATTGCAACTGAGTTTTATGTTAAACTGTCTTGTATGTCCTTAGGTAAACTTGCATGGCTTTTTTTTTTTTTGGTAGAGTATGTTTCTTTTTCTAGAACAGTATTTCTAGAGGATCATCTGGTTCCCTGAAAAGTTTTACTACAGCTACTTAAGTTATTAGTATGTATTAACAGAGAATAATCAGGGCTGGGGAGACAGCTCAGTCAGTAAAGTGCTTGTCATGCAAGCATTAGGGCCTGTGTTTGATCCACAAGACCTATGTAAAAATCTGAGTATGTTGGCATGATGGGAAGGCAGAGACACACAGTTAGGGATCCTGTGGCTTAACTGGCAAGCCCTAGGTCCCATTCAAAGACTCTATCACAGCACCTAAGGAAAGTTACCTGAGGGTGACCTCTGGTCTATATATACACATGTGAATACACGTGTACACACACACACACACACGCACGCACACACACACACACACAATAAGCACAAACACTTGGACACACACAAATAAATAACAAGCACCCATTAAGCCTTTTGTGTGTAACTATTTCATGTTAATTAAAAAGAAGTGAAATAATTATAAAATTAAAAAGCGTTGTTGATTAGGCAATTGTCACAAGCTAGTGTTGTATCATACCAAGAATCAGTATAAGAACAACACAACATTGATTTAACCAGTTCTCCACACAAACATGAAAAGTATCTACTATTATCAAATCCATTTTAGAGACAAAAATATCAAGGTCCATGGACAAAGTAACTTGCTATTAAACCAAGGTACCATGCCACACCAGCTAGTAGTAATGTGATAATTCATAAAGTTTCTAACAACAGAGGCTCTCAAACATGAGATTTGTCAAATTGTTCTTGGGACATTTTGTTAGAGGAGCTGGGATACACATAAAAACTAAGAGGCATGTGAGGCCATAGTTGAGGACAAAAATCCCTAAGGGGAGAAATCTGAAGTACAAAAAAAGATTGAATTATTGAGCTTTGGAGACAGCTTTTCCAAACAGACAGGAAGAAGAGCGCAAGATTTCAGAGATGAAAGAATGGTCAGCAACAGAGGAAGAACAAAATTTTAATGCAATTTTGCTGATTCCCATGCAGCTATTAGGACAAGGAGACGTGTCAACCACAGCAGACCACAGAGGCATTCAGTCACAACAGAATGGCCTCTTTTGAGAGGCAGCAAAGAGATCATGGCTATAGTGGGTCACAGCAAAAAACAGGATGGTCGCCTTGCTGACTGGGCAGGAATCAGGACTGGGGTGGTGGAGATCAGGAGCTGTGTGGATGTCCACACTCAAAGAAGTTTTGCTGTGAAGAAAGGCAGCAATGTGGGACAGGAAATTGATGGAGGTGTCAGGGTAAGAGAACAGTTATGTATTATGACCTAAAAGGAGATATTTTAGATGGCTGTGTATTGGTAGGGATAGTCCAATGGACAACATAAAATGGTGGGAAAGAATGTGCGTAAATTTGGTGATGGAAACTGAAACAAAGACTTATGATTTATTTTTACATCCTTGTAATGACCTACAAGGAGGCTATGTGCTAGGAAAGAGGAGGGCTTGAGCTGCAATAGAATGTTTTAGGAGAATCAAGAGAGATAAAACCCCATCTTGGATTATGGAACCAAATACTTATTAGAGTAATATAATCATCTCTGTTGCCAGTGTTGAGGGCTGCTTGGAATTTGAGCACAAAATTTAACATGAAACTCACTGTTCTTTCCAGCTACTCCTAAACACCCAACTGTAGGCATTGAAAGGGGAACTGTTGAGGCCATGTAGGTCTGGGCTTTTGCAAAGTGAACACATAGAAAATGAAGAAGAGATATTGTCATATCAGCTGGCATCCAAAAGAACTGCTTTAGGAAGAATGTAGAAAACAAGGCATTACTAGACCAAAGTCCACAAGAAGGCTGTTGCTCAGAGAGTGTTTTAGTTAGGTTTCTATTGCTGTAATAAAACTGTGGCAAAAGCACATCAGGGCTTATTTGGCTCACAGGTCATAGTCCATTATCAAGGGAAGCCAAGGCAAGACCTCAGGGCAGGAACCTGGAGACAGGAACTGTGGAGGAAGTCCTGTGATTATGTCAATAAAGCACTGTTGAGCCAATAGGAATCTAGATAGGTGGGACTAGGAGTCCAGGAGGACTCTGGGAAGGAGGAACACAGAGAGTCAAGATGTAACGCCATGGGGTAGGAAGCCCGGAACTATTCTCCGGTAAGAGAAATACTTAGATTAACAATTATGGGGTAATTACTTAAGTCAGAGCTATCCAGTAAGAAACAAGCAAGGCCAACAGCTTCGTAATTAATATAGTCTCCTGTGTGTTTATTTGGGACTAATGCGGCTCTAGAACCAGGCTGGCAGGAAGGCTTCTCTCAAGGAAAAGGCCTCCCTTTACAGGAACTAACACAGAACCATGGAGGAATGTTGCTTACTGGCTTCTTCCCCACAGCTTGCTCAGTTTTCTTTCTTATACAACCCTGGACCACATGCCCAGGGAAGTACTGCCATGGCTTCCAGAGCCCTCCCACATTAATCATTAATTAGGACAATGCCCCACAGACTTCTCTACAGGCCAATCTCATGGATGAAATTTCTCAGTTGAAGTTCCCTTGTCCCAGATTACTCTAGCTTGTGCCTAATAAAGAAAAACTACCCATCCCACGGAGTGATGGCACCATCAGGTTAGGATAGGGAACAGTCCTGGCAAGTGGGACACTGGTTCCATGTACAGCATTTTAACAAGTTTGTACCTCATACTATATGTGTTTATTTTATATATTTAAACTTTCCCTTCATGTATTGCTTGGGTCTTATTCAATGTTTATTTTGCCATTTTCTTCATATTTTAGAGGGGAGGAGTCCAATTTTCATAATTCTTCAGGTAGTTTTCTTTATACAGGGCAATCATTCTAGATCCAAAATTTTGAAATCCCAAGTGTAGGTGACAACATACTAGAAAATTTCACATCTGCTATCATGTGACACAGGTGTACTTAAAATACTTTATAAAATTGCCCCAGTCTATGCATATGAGCTATATGAAACAAAATTACCCCAGTCTGTGTGTATGAGTTATGTGAAACAAATGAATTCCAGATGAAGACCTATGTCTATTCCCCTAAATCTCTTCCTTATGCAGCATACATTACTTAAATTTTTTATAACATATTGAAAATATACAAATAATATAAGGAGTACAAAACCAAAACTCAAGAATCTAATGTTCAGTTTTAAAAATAATTATCGTGTGTTTCTACCAAAGGAAAAAATCTCTCTGACTTACCATGAGTTACTTTTAATATTGTTAACCTTTTCTCTTTACAACTTCTAAAATAATTTATGCAAGAAACTTTAGTGGCACTCTTTTGATACAAATCCACTTCTCTGAATTTCCTGTCACTGTCACTACTCTCAATCTGACTGTTCAAACCTCAATCTGAGCAGAAGTGTGTCACCTGCTCTGGTTACTGCTTTTTTTGTCATTATTGTTGACACATATTGATTGTACAAATGAATGGATTTCTCTATGGCAATTCTATATATGCATACATCTTATCAATCTTTGATCTTGTCCCTCATCCCTTCTTTTCCCACCTTTCCTGTTCCCATGATCCCTTTCCCAGACCCAAAGAGTCCATTGTATACTCTCAGACCATCTTTGGGTTTTGTTTATTTGTTTGTTTCCAAATAAATGTGGGAAGATATATGACCTTGTCTTCTTGAGTCTGTTTTCTATTCTTAGGTCACTCTTGTCTGTTTGTTGTTGGTTTGTTTGTTTGTTTCCAAATGCCGGGAGGCATGCGAACTTGTCTTCCTGTAACTTGATGCTTCCCTTCATTCCCCAGTTGTACTAACACACCTATATAATGACCCTTCATTTTGATGTATCACTAATAAAAGAAACTTTCAAGTAATTCTTTTCAACGGGGTCATAAGGAGAATTTTTCCAAGCCTTTATATAGCTGAGAAGTTTGTTGCTTTTATATCTGAAGGAGAGATGTAGATATATGAATAGTATTTTTGATTAGTAATTCTTTTGCCCTTGGTATTATTTGCACCACCACCACCAAGACAATCATCTGAAGGAAAACTGGCCTTTGTTTGTTTTGTGGTAATGTTTTATTCCCAGATTCAATGCGTTGGGAGCACGATGTTTGGTTATGATTTAGCATAAAGTGTGTGAGTTCTCATAGCACTGCTCTTTCCCAGGCTCTGACTATGACCTACTATATCTATCCCAGTTCCTCACGTGCCAGGAACTTGTCTCAGTACCATGCTTTCAGCCTTCCCTCATGCTCTTTGCTCAGTGTCTGTCTTACACACTGTCCTGTGACACTCATATGCTCTTCCTTTCTCAGTCTTATTCTCTACATCACTGACTGAATTTTCAGCAAGAATAATTTAATTCCTTCCTTAAGAACTTGTGTTTTGGAGCCAGAGAAATGGCTCAGTGGCTAAGAGCACAGGATGCTCTTCCAAAGGTCATGAGTTCGATTCCCAGCAGCCACATGGTGGCTCACAACCATCTGAAATGAGATCTGGTGCCCTCTTCTGGCATGCAGACATACGTGCAGGCAGAACAGTATATACCATGATAAATAAATAAATCTTTAAAAAAATTGTGCTTCTTAATGTCTTATATGTCTGTGTGTGAGTTGGCACATGTGAGTGCAAGTGCTGTGTAAGCCAGATGTTAGATCCCTTGGAGCTGGAATGGCCAGTTGTGAGTTGTTAGACATGGGTGCCCAGCTTCCAAACAATGAACAGGGCAAATGGCTTGGTGAAGGGGTAAAGACTAGAAAACTTCTCCCTATTTGGTTGCTGTTTATTATTAAGACATGCTCCCTAGCAACCAATAAAGCTTATGTACCTTAAGCACAAACCCTATACCTACAAGTCAGCTACATCAGAACAGTTATTCATCAATTAAGCTCCAGGTAGGGGCTGCTTACCTGTCCCCAGCCCTATCTTCACTTTATACTTCAGGACTTCAAGCACATTCAGTAAGCCACTGCTCAGCCTGGAGAGAAAGAAGACACAAGAACAAGGAGATCCGGTGATTTAATGGCATATGGACACTGTCAAAGATGGTGGTCACACTAAAAACGGGTTCTCGTCTTTATTAGCCCAAAGGCCAACAGTCAGTAAGACCAGGCAAAGAAAGTGGTGGGGCAGAGAAGATCATAAAAATCCGTTTCTTGCTTCCTGGTCTGAAGTCACTCTAGCAAGGGGGTGCAAAGAAGCAAGGAACTACATGGAAAACACCAAAGAACTATGCTTTGTAGTTAGTCTGTAAATCTAACAAAGCTATAGGCTTCCTACCTAGCCAACTCCGCCTTCTATAATAGAAAATATAAATCATAAAGCATTGCATTCCTCTATATCCTGAACAATGTACTACCCAAAGAAGAAGTAATTTGTATTAGGGAACAAAAATAATAGCCCAGTGTATGATGCATTGGGCCTTAGAAGCAGCCTCAAAAATTAGAGTATCTCTCGGACCTCCTCCCCCAAATCTCCAAACCACACAAGCCAGAATTTCTCAGGGCTGTGGTCTAACTAACTCAGTGGTAGAATGCTTATTAAGGATACAGAGGGCCCCAGGTTCATCTCCAATAACAACAACAAAACAACTAAAATTTCCACCATTTTCCCTGTTTCAAGCCGCAAACCCTAACGAGATTGTCCTAATCCTCCATCCTTGTGTCTCATGCTGGCTAGGAAGGAGTTCTCAGACATACTTTGATTCTATTTGATTCTATTTAGGAAGATGTCCTGACCCATTCACAGAAGGAAAACAATATGACACAAGGACCAAGTTGATCTGAAGATGCCCTCCCCAGTATCTCAACTTGATAACTTGCATTAGATTAAAACCTCTTTGTTCAATTACACTTCTGTGTGGTCACCATGCTCTATCACATCAAATCATAAAAACAGGGGAGAGCTCTCTGTGACCATTGGTGTTCATTTAATGGTCCAGCGTTTTGTTTTTTGCTTTGTTTTGTTTTTCAAATCAGGGTTTCTCTATGACTCTGGAGGCTGGAGGCTGTCCTTGTAGACCAGGCTGGTCTCAAACTCACAGAGATCCACTTGCCTCTGCCTCCCAAGTACTGGGATTAAAGGAGTGTGCCACCTGGCCAACTCTGAGTTTGTAACCCAGCATCTCTGGACTAGATCATGTTATCTACAACTTCCCTAAACTTAAACATTTTTATGTCTATGGGCCTTTTTGTTTTGCTGAAGATACAAGTCATAACTTTCAACTGACTCACGGTGAATTAATAATCATTAAGAAAGTAAGAACACCAGGTAGTGACACACACCTTTACAGGTGTATCTTTGTGAGTCAAAGTCAGCCTGGTCTACAAGAGTGAGTTCCAGGACAACCAGAGATATTACACAGAGAAACCTTTTCTTGAAAAACAACAACAATAACCAAAAAACAAACAAACAAACAAACCAAAAAAGAGTACATGTTTCAAATAAAGCCTTTGTATTTGGGAATTAAATATGATGAAGTTCCTCCTAGGTTCTCTTATATGAGCTGTGTCACACATTCAGCAGCATGTCCAAGTGCAATGGAGCCGTAACTCCCTTCTAAACTCTGGAGAAGACTGACTCCTTGGGACATGCACTTTTTTTTTATATTTTATTTTCCAGTTTAAATTTAGATAAGAAACGAGGTTGCTTCACAAGTCAGTTCCAGGTCCCTCTCCCATTCCCTCCCCTCCTCCCGTGCCCTCCCCCCACCCCCCCCGTTATCCCCTCATTCCCCCAGGGAGGGTGAGGCCCTCCATGGGGGTAGGGACATGCACTTTTTAAAGTCTGTTCTCAGCTGTAAAACCTGAATGCTATTGATTTTAAACTCTGTTATACTTCCCCTTGCTGCATGCAGAAATCTTCAAATGTATGCCCTGCAACAATGCCCTCTTTCAAATGCTTTCTTTCTTCACCTTCGCACAGATGAGCATCCACCTACCTGGTTCCTTCCCTATTCAATCCTACTGTAGAAATTGATCCTAGGAGAGGAACAACCGAGAAAACAGAAAATGCCTATCCACATTACACATCAATAATCTGCCAAGCAAGTATTGACTACTTACGATAGGTTAGAGTTGGGACAATGTGCAATGGATGCTCCTCGTTCGTTGAAGATGTTAAGCTCTTCTTCAGAAAGATAGCAGCCATGTGCCATGACTGTCTAGAGAGAAGAATAGCCAACATGGAGTTTACTACTAAAAATGCTTGTACTAATAATACCCATGGCTATGTACTACAAGAAGATACAGAAGCAATGGCTTGGCTACAATGGTCTTTGCAAAGACAGTTGCTACTATTTGAAAGAACAAAATCCCTGTATCCAAATGTACATCACAAAATGCTCAACAAATTTGTATGTTCTATCTATCTGCCTGTCTGCCTGCCTGCCTGCCTGCCTGTCTGTCTGTCTGTCTATCTATCTATCTTAGTAGTGTTGGTAATCAAGCCCAGTATTCTACCACTGAACTCTATTGTAGCCCTGGCTCTTTGTTTTGATTCTTTTGGCTGATTTGCAATTTAGTACAGGGTCAGCCAGCTCATCCATGGCATAGGAAATACAACCAGATTGAACACATTATGCTTTTATCATCTCTACTATAGAAAAATTTCAAGTATCTTCTTTTCTAATCTATAAAATGCACCTCTAGTAGGCTGACATTTGTCTGTATTCCAATTAGGACTTTCTAAAAGAACATGGAAGGTGTAAGTATGATTTTGCAAAGAACTATGGGTTACTTGTTATAGATGGTTTGCTTTAGAAATGGTATCCCTTTATATAGCTAAGGCTGGCCTTGAACTCACTATAGAGCCCAAACTGATCTCCTACTCAAAATTTCCTGCCTCAGCCTCTGGAATGCTGGGATTTTGGGCATAAGTCACCATATCTGAGAGAATTGTTCTTTATGTTACTAGTTTCAATATAGGTACCAATGGTTCTTGACAAAACATCAGGATATGTCATATCATAATAACTTTTAGTTAAGGAGGCAAACATTATGAAAATAGGTGCCACACATTTGAAACCTTTCCAAATTTTCATGTTGGTTAGATTTGCAGGCTTTCAAGTAATACTTAATTCTCTAAATTTCTTTTACTCTAATATAAAACCTATATCCAGTTGCTTTCTCCCTTGGGAGGCATAGTTCAATAGGCAAAAATTATTATTAAATAAAACTTTCTCAATCTCCATGCAAATAAAATTAACATGAAAATTTAAGGTTAATCTATTAATTATATGGTAATATATGTAAAGACGGATGAAACCTCCAATGTAAAATTTCCATTATTTATGCAAAGTACTAACCTTTCAAATCACTTCCATTCATATCTCCTTTTGTGTAGTCACTAAGAAATTACTCGTGGCAGTAAACTCTCAGAGTAGCGTGTTCATTTCATGGAAGGTCAAGGCCAAAGGGTATACTGCTTTAATGAGGTCTCTTGCCACTCACATTAATTATAGAAGTAATATATACTCATTTCTCTAAGCCTCAGAGTTTCAAAAATTACTTTTAACATTCACTATGTATCTCTGGACAGTTTTTATGTTTGAAAACACACCAAGACATATTCAACTATATTAAATGTTCTTCTGTGGGAGCATGCATATATTGTTCATTGTGAATGCTGGCTGGAATTCTAATAATGTAAATTCTATGATTTAACCAATTCCTTGGGGAAAGCTATTTTCATAATTTCCTGTGTTATCAGCACACCTATTTTTGGTTGTGAGCCTAGCCTTTAATGGCTGAGCTATCCCTCCAGCCCCAGAACACCTATTTTTATAATCTTTAAAGAATTATCCTTGGAAATGGATCTGCTGGCTCAAAGAAAAGCCCACTGACCTATTAACTATGAAAGCATCGTTGGAAGAAAGGTCATACTTACCATCCAATGAAAAACTTAGATTTAAGGACAGGGATGAAATATCAGTCCTATATTAACACACACAAACATGTGTACACACACACATATAGACACACACAGATAGATGATAGATACACACATATCATGCACACACGTATATACACACTTATCTACACACACATGTACACACAAACATACACACACACATATATAGACACATATATACAAACACACACATGTATAGATACACACATACATACACACATGTATACACACAAACATACACATAGACACACACACACACACACACACACACACACACACACACACACTGGGTTTACTCTAGTTTGGGAAATGCATATGTCCCGCAGAATTGTGATTACTTCTGAGATTTTGAAATTTACAGGGTACAGACTGCTTTACATAGACTATATCATGATACTAAACTTACCTTGTTTGTCAGGAGATTATTTTTATCATAGACATCTGTGTAGTTTTTGTAATCAGGGAATAAGCTTTTCACAGCTTCAACTTCTTCACGATTTTCACTTATATGGCTCTGTACACAAAGAAAGAATGGTTTCACTTTTTCTGTAAAATATTTGGCATTATATCTCATTTTTCAACATGCCGTTTCTTATTTCTACTTGCTGAACTTGCTAATGTAGACAACTATGGATTAAAAACATTAAATTCTATGCTTACTCAGGTTTAATTTTCAATTATTATAAACAAATGACTCTGTGTGTGTATGTGTGTGTGAGAGAGAGAGAGAAAGAGAGAGAGACTCTTTCCCTTAAGACTTTACTCCATAGCAAGAACAACCTATGTCCTCTTTAAAGAGCACCCAGTGCCTTCCTTGTAGCAACCTTCCTATAAGAATTCAATGGCCTGGTATTCCTGTCTAGAGGTGAGAGTGGGGTGTTGAAGTCTCCACTATAAGTGTGTGGGGCTTTATATGTGATTTGAGTTTTAGTAATGTTTCTTTTATGAACGTGGGTGCTTTTGTATTTGGGGCATAGATGTTCAAAATTGAAACTTCATCTTGGTGGATTTCTTTGGTGGATTCATCTTTGGTGATGAGTATGAAGTGCCCTCCTTCATCTCTTTTGTTTGATTTTATTTTAAAATCTAATTTGTTAGATATTAGAATTGCTAACCCCGCTTGTTTCTTGGGTTCATTTGATTGGAAAATCTTTTCCCAACCATTAACTCTGAGGCATTGTCTGTCTTTGAGGCTGAGGTGTGTTTTTGTATGCAGCAGAAGAGTGGGTTCTGTCTTCGAATCCATTCTGTTAGCCTGTGTCTCTTTATGGGAGAGTTAAGACCATTAATATTGAGGGTTATTAATGACCATTGATTGTTCATTCTTGTTTTTTTTGGAATAGTTGATGGTGGTGGAATTATATATGGATTTCCACCTCTTTTCTTTTGGTTGTTGGTAAAGTGGGATTATCTATTGCCTATGTTTTTCTGGTTGTAGTTAATTCCCTTGGATTGGGGTTTTCCTTCCAGAACTTTCTGTAGGGCTGGGTTAGTGGATACTATTGTTTAAATCTGGTTTTGTCATGGAATATCTTGTTTTCTCCATCTATAGTGATTGAAAGCTTTGCTGGGCATAGCAGTCTGGGCTGGCATTCGTGGTCTCTTAGTATTGGTAGAATATCTACCCAGGGCCTTCTGGCTTTCAGAGTTCCCATGGAGAAGTTAGGTATGATTCTGATAGGTTTGCCTTTGTATGTTACTTGGCCTTTTTTCTTTACTGTTCTTAATATTCTTTCTTTATTCTATATATTCGGGGTTTTTACTATTATGTGGCAAGGGGATTTCCTTTTGTGGTCCACTCTATTTGGTGTTCTGTAGGCTTCTTGTACTTTCATTGGCATGTCTTTCTTTAAGTTGGAAAAGTTTTCTTCTATGATTTTGTTGAATATGTTTTCTGCCCCTTTGAGGTGGATTTCTTCACCTTCTTCTATACCTATTATTCTTAGGTTTGGTCTTTTCACAGTGTCCCATATTTCCTGGATATTTTGTGTTAGAGATTTGTTGGACTTCAGATTTTCTTTGGTCGATGAATCTACTTCCCCTAATGTATCTTCAACACCTGAGATTTTGTCTCCCATCTCTTGTATTCTGTTGGTTATGCTTGTATCTGTAGTATCTGACCAGACACTAAGATCAACAATTAACAAATGGGACCTCCTGAAACTGAGAAGCTTCTGTAAGGCAAAGGACACAGCAAGACAAAAAGGCAACCCACAGATTGGGAAAAGATATTCACTAACCCCACATCTGACACAGGGTTGATCTCCAAAATTTACAAAGAACTCAAGAAGCAAGTCTCCAAAACACCAAAGGATCCAATTAAAAAATGGGCTGCAGAACTAAATAGAGAATTCTCAGTTAGAGGAGACTAAAATGGCTGAGAGGCTCTTGAGAAAGTGCTCAACATCCCTAGCCATCCGGGAAATGCAAATCAAAACAACTCTGAGATACCATCTCACTCCTGTCAGAATGGCTAAAATCAAAAACTCCAATGACAGTTTATGCTGGAGAGGATGTGGAGAAAGGGAAACACTCCTCCACTGCTGGTGGGAGTGCCAACTTGTACAGCCACTTTGGAAATCAGTATGGCAGATACTTCCAGGACAGCCTCCAAAACAATACAGAGAAACCCTGTCTCAAAAAACCAAAAAAAAAAAAAAAAAAAAAAAAAAAAAAGGAAATCAGTATGGCGAAGGAAAATGGGAATCAGTCTGCCACATGACCCAGCAATTCCACTCTTAGGCATACACCACAAAGATACACATTCATACAACAAGGACACATGTTCAACTATGTTCATAGCAGCTATGTAATAGCTAGAAACTGGAAGCAATCTAGATGCCCCTCAACTGAAGAGTGGATAGAGAAAATGTGGTATATTTACACAATGGAGTACTACTCAGCAGAAAAAAGCAATGGAATCCTGAGATTTGCAGGCAAATGGATGGCACTAGAAGATACCATCCTGAGTGAGGTAACCCAGTCACAAAAAGAGAAATATAGTATGTACTCACTCATTCATGGATTTTAGGCATGAATCAGGGGAGTGCCAGCATACAATCCTACTGCCACAGAGTCTAGGAAACAGAACCTTCATCCAGTGACTGATGAAAGCAGAGGCAGATGCCCACAGACAAACACTAAACTGAACTACTGAAATCCGGTGTCAGAAAGAGAGAACTGATGGGCAAAGGAGTTAAGACTGGGCTGGTTTAACCCACAGAAACAGTTGACCTGAACAAGGGGGAGCTCTTGGACCCCAGATTGATGGCTGTGTGGAAAGCATGGGACTGACCCACACCCCCTGAATGTGGGTGTCAGTGAGGAGGCCTAGGTAATCTATGGGGCCTTGGGTAGTATTTATCTCTGGCATACAAATAGACTTTGAGTGCCCATGCCACAATATGGGAGGCTGTCTCAGCCAGGACTCTTGTGGGAGGGCCTAGGCCTTGCTCTGGATGACATGACTGTCACTGGAGATTTACAGTGGAGGGCCTCATCCTCCCTGGGGATCAGATTGGAGATTGGGTGGGAGACTGGGAGATGTGGTGGGGAGGGCAGGGGAGGAGGGGAGGGAGAGGGAGCTGGGATTGACATGTGAAATAAGATTGTTTCTAACCGAAAAAAAAAAAAAAGAATTCAATGGCCATCGGAAGATGAATCTATGGTTCACTCAGATAAAAAAAAAAAAACTTAAAAGTTGAACAGAAAGCTGAATTCTGAGCCTAATTCTATGTCTTAGAGCAAGCCAGTTCTCTTCTTTAGCTTCCATAAATAAAAGTGTTGGCCTAGATAAGTCATTTTCCATCTCTAATGCAGATGTGTTAGTCATATTTCAGGTGTGAAATTATACAGAAGCTAGCACCAGAAGCAGAATGAAGACTGGGTTCAGGGCCTGTCCTCAGTCTGCCTCTTTTCTTGACTTTCTGAATGATGTTTTGCAGAAAAGAATATGAAAATGACAGAACTGGACAATGCTGCCTTCATCAGGAAGGAGCTCAAGGGAGTCCACACACAAGCCAAGTGAATAGACAGCCACATCAGCCTTTCATGGGGCACCTGAAATCTGAGGGGACACAAAGTGCCTTGAACTGGAGTAGCCACCCAAGCCTCTAGAAAAAAGCCATTTCAGACCCAGGGGTGATGAAAGTAGATCATGAGACCAATTCACGATCCAACAAACACTTGCTAACCAACTCTGCCAGGCCTGTTTTTCTGTGCTAAAAAGAGACATAGCAAGATCAACAAAAGAAAAGGTAAGCAAAGATTTCAACCGGTGCTGCACCTACATCAGATTCTACCCATGGTCGGGAGGAAATCCTAGCCTATCAGTGAGATGCATGGACGTAACCCAAGAGGAAGAACAACCAGGCAATTTGACTGGATAGGAAAATTAAATGTGTATCTTCCATCCCTCTAATCAATCTCCTGTTTGCCACACAGCTGTAAACCAGATTTCTAGCCAGGGATAACCTTGCTCTTCTGAGTTTTCCTCCTCTGCCTTCTGACTGCTGTGTCCCAATTCCTGGGATCAGCCTCAAGGTTTTGTACACACCAGGCAAGCACTTTGTCAACGGCCCCACATCTCCATCCAAAGGAGAGGTTTCTTCGTGTCTTTTTCATTTTATTTTCATGTAGTTTTTAATATCTCTCTCTCTCTCTCTCTCTCTCTCTCTCTCTCTCTCTCTCTCTCTCTCTCTCTCTCTCTTTTTTTAGAATAAAACATACAAATTTGGAATTTTATTACCAGAGCATAATTGTGGGGGAACTGAATCTAAAGTCCAAATATCAGAAGCCACAAACAATAATTACAGGAAAGACATGTTAATGGGTTCTATGAACGTACATTTTTAAAGTTAATAAAGTAAGGAATCAATATGCTGCCTTCACCCCAACTTTCCCTTCCCTCTAAAACCATCAGCTCTGAAAGAGGGGAAATTTTAGTGCAGTGTGTAATTAAGCTTGAGTGGGGGAGGGGAGCTCCTAATTTTAACCCAGCTGTGAGATTTTAAAAGCATTTTATTGCTAAATTGCAACAACTTAATGATAAAGGGAGATATACTTTTTATTCCTGGTTTTAAATTAAGAAACTCGAAACAAAAGGATTTTAAACGCACGTTTGTAAGGTAGAAATTAAGTTCTTTGTACTTTTCAAATAATAATTGGTTCCTCCACAAATGAAGGTCTAGAACACCAGGAAAGCATCAAATAAAAGCAGGAAGGAAATGTGTTAAACGCATTTTGTCAGGAATAGGCAGTCTGACATTGACCTTGCTATCCTTTATGAAGTTGTCTTGGCCAGATCAGAGAATATGGAGGATGAAAACAGCTTCAGGTGCCTGACCTGCAAAACTGACCAACTGGGTTAGATGACATCAGTCGGGTGCCTCCTGGTGACGTCAGTCAGGGAACCTCGTGTCCTGAAATTCTTTGACTCTAGGAGATCTCAGTAGATGAATTACAGACTATTAGAGATGATCTGAGGGTACTAAGAGATCTTGCAGGCATGGACAGAGGCACAAACCATAGAAAAATACCTACCTGGATGTGCAGGTCATGGGTCTTCGCGATGTTGCCAAGTTTACTCATCAGGGTCTCCGTGCAAGAAAGGGAAAAGCGCGGGGTCACTATGGGTTTCACCCTTGAGTACTGGAAATAATAAAAAAATTGTGAGGAAAATATGGGGATTATGAACACATAGCACATTCCATAACAATGTGATTTTACAGTTTCAATATTGAGGAACATCTCTGGTTTTTAGTAGACAGAGGTTCTGGGTTCCAAAAGACAGTTTATGATGAGAACAGTACTTTCTTCAGCCTCAAGTTCCCAGAAGAAAGTTCTATCTCTGTGACAGGCATTCCCTTCCCATTACCTCAGATGAGACCTGGGGTGGTGACACTACATGTGAGGCGGTAGCTTGTTTCCCTGCCTACATCTTGAGGGGGTGTGCTGGCTGCATCCTCACTCAGAGCTCTTTAGTAATACCTCAGTGACTTACTGACAGGATAAAATGACCCCTAGAGGGAGTAAGGAAGAGAGTCTGTAAGCATTATCTATAACTCACCCAGGGGTAAGCTACAAGAAACTCTGAACATTCCTGCAGCTTCCAGTGTAACAGTGAAGGTCATAAGGGAAGGAAGGGCTAGGTTTACTGACTTATGAGTCTGTCCTCTGGATTCATAAACCAGTTTTCACAATGCACTTGGAGGCAAAAAGTAGCGCTGTCTTCACGGACCCCGCAATGCCAGGGAAAAGCAGATGTGTGGGCCTCATGTGCCATATGTTTACAGAGCAAGGCACCCTGTAGTCAGGGCACTATGACAGAGTATAGCCTGCTTTTCACTCCACACTAGCAGTGGACAAAACCAATGAAGAAGGCCCACACGCCACCCACCTCTTTGGATCGCAGAGCAATTCACCCTCTGCAGAGACCAATGCCACAAAATTAGAAGGCCCAGACCAGGGAGAGGAAATGAAGTGAGAATGGTTAAGGTGAGGTGAGTTCAGAGGGTGACTCTTGAGGACAGTGACTGGATTGTCACACCTTAAATGATGGTTTGTATTTGAAATGTCTCCCCAAACTCATGTTGGGTGAAGGTTCTTGCCTAATAGTGCACCTGGGAGGTGAGAGAACCTTTGCGAAGTAGAGCCAACTGGAAGGAAGTAGACGGTGGCTTCCTGGCAGCCACGAGGTAAGCTGCTTTCCTCTGACGGGGATATCTGCCCTCATGCTCTGCCTAACCATAGGCCTAAAAGCCACCAGGTCAAGTGATCATAGACTAAAACTGTCTGAAGCTGTGAGTCAAGGCAACCCTTCCTTTCTTATAAACTTCTTACCTCAGGTATTTTGTTACTGTGATAGGCAGGTGAGCAACACATCTTAGACTAACCACAAGCTTAGTGAACCTGCGATGCAATCCACATACCTGACTAAACTTGGGTTCTGTGCTGCACACAGACAAGGGGTACAGGAACCAAAAACAAAAGGGTACACACAATATCCCTGAAGCTGTAAACAAATTCAGTAGACATAAAGTTTGCTGCATATTTTAATAGTGAATAATCAAATCCACCAAAATCAGATCATTGTTCCTGACTACAAAACTGCTTAAAAGAAGAAAGGTCTAAATATAGTGTCCTACGAGCTTTCCCTGGAAAGCAAAAGCCAGAATTTTATATGAATTGACCTTTTCAGATTGCACACACAAATGAGATCATGCAGTATTACTCTTCTGAACTGGGTTCATTTAATTTAACATAATATACTCGATTCATCTGTGCTGTCTCAAATAGCAAGATCTTTTTTTAAGAATAAATAGTATCCCATTATACATGCATATGTGAATAATACACACATACTCATGGGATATAGGAGACTTATTTAGGTTGTATATACATCACACATATATACATATATGTATATACAAACATGTATGTATGGTTTTCTTGTATACATATATAAAGTAAAAATAAATAAAATTGATTTTCTTTACCTATTCATCCATAGACTTCTAGGTCATTTCCATATTTGAAGCTATAGTGAATAACACTTCAGTAAATGTAGGATGCACATATCTCTCCAAGATAGCCCATTTTATTTCCTTTGATAGATACTCAGAAATGGGATCTCTGGCTCACATGAGGCAATATTGATCAAAGGGCACGTTCTCAGTTATAAAGTGAAAAGATACCTAAGGCGTTTGTGCAGTCCTGTTACTGCACATGTGCATGGATCGCACTGTGACCGTCATCCGACACTGCATATGTGCAAGAAGCCATCACACTCCACACCTCGGTCCTCACAGTCTTTGTCAGATGCTTTCAATTTTAAAAAGTCTGACCTCTCTGAGCTGAGCTCCCGGGTACACTGTGTCAACAATCATAGGTTCTAGGAAAACACCTCTTAAGTATAGACTAAGCCGTAGGTACACAGACTAAGCCATGAAATAACTTGACAGATGCTACAGCTAACAAAGCGGCCCTCTGGGTGAAAACGGAACAAATTCACTTACGTTCCTCTGAAGCATTTCTGACACGAATCTGCAATAAAGTGACAAATGTAAGGTTAGGAAAGCCAGTCGTTTTCAAACAAATGCTTCAACAGGGTGAAAGCATGATCCTTACATGTCCTGATTTGCATGAAAACATACCTAAGAGTGTGGGTTTCACCACCAATAATCAGAGATTAACAAGCAATAATTACTCCACTTTTCCTTTGGTAGCAAAAGAGGAAGAGGAAAATCACAGGCAACATTGTCCTGTGGCCTCTTGTGGGCCTGTCCGAGCATCCGCACAGCCCCCAGCCTGTGCTAGCTGCTCCAATTATGTGTAACAGAGTTACAGTGCACCGTGTTCCATGGATGACAGGACCATCGACTCTTGGGCACACACAAGCACTTAGGAGCCTTAGACATTGTTCTTCTAGTCCCCTCTTATGTGGAAGCTAAGCATGCCCATAGCATCACCATCAGTCTCTGAGGACAAAGTCTGGCAGGAGGTAGACATTGGAGGAAGGTGGGATACTACGACAGAGGTGTGAAATGTCTGTGGAACGGACGAGTGGTGAACCTAGCACTTCTGCCTTGAACAGGGACAACTGTCCTACAGAATGGTTATTCCTGCCCTGGCTGGTAAAGACTTGTTAGTAGTTTTTTTCCCTTCTGGTACTATTTCAGACTAAAGTGTGAATCGAGAGCCTGGGGATGTAGCTCTGTGATAGATACTTGCCAAGCGTGAACAAAGCCCTGAGCATCTTCAGTCCCAGGGAAACAAATGGTGAATTAAAGTAAAGAGACCACAACAGCGGTTTGTGCAGGAGCTTATCGCATGGTGCACCCCTCTTCCTCTCACCTCAGCACCTCAGAGGAAGCATACTTGAAGTGAGAGAACCCCGGAAAATAGAAGCAAAGCTGGGATCCAAAGTTATGCCCCAAAAGAATAAATCTAAACAAATTTCTTCTGTGTATCTCTTGATGTGAAATGCAATACAGTGAAACGCCCTGTTAAATATTCAAGATACCACAGGAAAGCCATCAAAGATCATGTAAGAAAAGTACTTAAACGACCAACAAATTCCCCTGGTGTTATATGCAACTGAACATAATAAAAACCCATGAAATAGCCGTAATCAAAAGCTATTGAGGGGTTGTAGATATGATCCGAGTATTTCATATGCACATACAAAAATGCCACGATGGAAGCTACTACTTTGTGCAATTAATATTGTAAACGTAATTTAATGAGCATGGCACCATACTTAACAAATCTGGTCTCCTGGAGAAGCCCTAGCCTAATTCAGGATACTAAGGGTAATTTCTGAAAATAAAGAATCCTTCATGTGTGGGGCTGGGGAGGTGGTGCAGTGGGTAGGAGCACTTGCTATGCAGGCATGAAGACCTGAACTTGAGTCCTCAGCACCGATTTAAAAAAAAAAAGGAAACAACAACAAAAAAAAAACCTCTGCATGCCTCTAACTCCAGTGTTGGGGTCAGAGCCAGGGGGATGCTAGGAATTTCATCTCAGCTAAAAACTTGAAGTTCAGTGAGAGACCCTGTCTCAAGGGTGGAGAGTGGCAGAGCAGGACACCCAACATCCTTCTCTGGCCTGCATCTGTGTACACTAGTACATGCACCTGTGCGCAAACACACGTGCAAACATGCACAAGTACATATTTTTAAAAGAACACACCAATTTTACTAAATGGATTAAGTCCACTAGAAGAGTGTTTTTCAACTTTAATTCTATGTCCTAAGAAGATTCTCGGGCTTTAAGAGAATTGCTTCGGCTGTGTAGGGACAAAAATGAGAGGCTGGTTCTAGAAGAGCTGAGAGAAACACTGGTGTGCAAGAGAGTCACACAGCCCGGGGATCTGTACTATGCGCTACTGTATCCGCTTAACATCTTTTTCAAGAATCACTTTCTTGTGAATTTAAAAGCAACCCTTCAAAATCATGCATTAAAAAATCTAATCTTTCCTACCTGACTCTTAAAGAGATTGTGCACTGAAACATATTTCCATTTTTCAAAATAGTTTTTGGTGAAGGATAATTTACATATCATAAAGTTCACCCATTTTAAGTGCTCTGTTCAATAATTGTAGCCAATTTACTGGGTTGCAGAATTACCAGAATAATACAGTCTTTGAATTCTCATCCCCTGGGTCTATAGGCAAGAGATAGGCAGTGTTGCCCTCCTCCCCAGCATGGCAAACCTCTCCACTTTTGGTCTCATGGATTTGCAATTTCTATATACTCAATATAAATGAAAGTTTATGATGTGTTCAGTCTGTTTCTCTTAGAATAGTAATTTTAAAATTCATCGTGTTAACACTTTGTTTTTGCTCATAGCTAATCAGTTTTGTATACCACATTTCCTGCATCTGCACACCATTCAGTAGACATGTCAGGTGTGGGAAAAGTCCTCCAATAACCTTGGTGACATGGCCCTGTGTCTCTCAGAATAACTAAAGAAGGGCTGCAGATCTGACACCTGGAGATTAGAGGGACTGGACACAGCCTGGGCTCTCCTGGTTCCCTCCTGAACAGGAGACCTTGTGGTTCTTTCATTAGTTTTATTCCATGTGTGTATATGCCTGCATGTATGACTACACAATCTATGTGTTATGCCTTTGGAGATCAAAGGCCATTGGATTCCCTGGGGTGTGTTTTCAGGGTTCCCTACCTTGGTGCAACATGAGGCATGAGTAGATGAGACTTTACTCATCCCATCCAGCTGTGCTGAGCCTTGCAAACTAGCCTGCCTGGAGCCCTAGACTTCTATTCTCCCCTGCTGCCTATCTGTGAGTCATTGATGGACCTGCTGAGCGTTGGGTATCCCTACACTCTTACAAGCAGATTTTGCTTGGAGTCCTGTCCTGAAACTGACACCGGTGTGCTCAGGGCACCTGTTTTGTATTTGGTATCTGTGAGTGGTGGCTTGAGGACCAGTCACATTAGAGACTTCATGTGGGCCTGTTGTGTTGTCTCTGTCCGCACCATATTTTGGCATTTCTGTCTGCATATGGTGCTCTATCCTTTGAGATATCCATGAGAACCCCAAATCAGGCTGTCCACATCCTCTGGTGAACCCACTCTATACCTAGTGGCTCTAAAACAGGCTTTGCTCTCTACCATCCATTGTCTCTCTTGGCTGTGTGTCACTGTTGAATGTGTGTAGACCTTTTATTGTAAGGGGTCTATTTCCCACAAGACCACAGATGTGGAATGAGGGTATATAAGGAACACAGCCTTCCTGCTGTGTGTCTGTGTTTCACTTCCTCAAGTAACACTTCTGGAAAGGAGATATTCTAGTTCTGTATTTGCATATGTTGTGGTCATTCCGGAATGCATGCAGATTTTTTCCCTGTCTATGGCAAGATAAAAGGATAGTTAGTGCTAGGTAGTTAGAACAGATTGACCCAATGTAAAGAACACTTACCAAGTAAAGATGTATGGGCTAAGGGGTATACTGTATGACTCACTGGGCCATACTACAGCTTCCATACCAAAATTTTCTTTTTTGTTTTGTTTTTAGACTGTAGTTTAAATTTTGTTTTGTTTTGGGGGGAAGGTAATAAGGGCAGAGGGTGGAGGTGATGGGAAGGGGAGATGAATGGGATCTGGGTGCATGATGTAAAAACCACAAAGTATCAATAAAATATTTTTTTACAAAACCAACTGAAAGGATAGAGTATAAAAATCTCACATTGGTGTCTGGATGGCTTAGCTAAAGAAAATGTCTCTGTTTTATACCTCTTTGTGCTTCTCTATGCTCTATGCCAGGGAAGCTTATACTTCTTGGTTATTGAAAAACAAAACAAACAAAACCTTTGCTTTGGTTTTTAAAGAGTGTCTTACTATGTGACTAAGGCTGGCTTAGACTCACCATCCTTCCTTCTCCACCTCCCACATACATGGATTGCAGGTATGTACCACTATGCCTGAGTCATTTTTACTGAACTGTCTTTCACCAACCTATAAATGGAACATTTCCCATAACCTCTCATATGTTTTCTGCAAGTGATTCCTCACACCATTATTCTTGAGCATGTGCACAAATATGGACTGCTTGTACATGCTGCCTGCCTCTCACACTAAGTACATCATGAGTGAGGATCACATCATGCTATAAGGAAGTCTACATTTTAAGTCATGGAGAGTTTCCACTCTGTTAAACTCTGGCTCTGGCACATTAATCTACACTAATAAAATGCTTTGGATGAGTGTCCCACAAAGGCCCACGTGCCAAAGCTTGGTCCTCAGGTCGGTGTTAATGGGAAGTGGGGTATCTTAGGAAATGGAGTCTGCTAGAAGATTTCAGGGCATGTGCCCGGGGAGACACTTTAGAATTCTCTCTCTGATTGTCCTGGCTCATGAGGTGAGCAGTGTATCCTATATTCACTCCCGCCTCATCAAAGGCATGTGGCCACTAGATCACATGCTGGAACCTCTAGAACAATAACCCCAAAGAAACCTTTTCTCTCTTTAAGTTGATCATCTCTGACATTATATCAGAGTAATGGTAAATGAACTACTCAAATGACTGTGGACAAGTCACCCAGGCAATGTCAGGATTAACTCTTTCTTTCTTTCTTCCTTTCTTCCTTCCTTCCTTCCTTCCTTCCTTCCTTTTCTCTTGTTTTCTGTTTTTCTGAGACAGTATTTCTCTGTCTTGCTTTGGAGCCTGTCCTGGAACTCACTTTGTAGACCAAACTAGCTTCAAAGTCACAGAGATCCACCTGCTTCTGCCTCCCGAGTGCTGGAATTAAAGGCATGCGCCGCCAACACCTCACTAGGCTCAGTTTTCTTATCATAAAAATAGACACCTTGTGGAGCTTTTTTGAGGGTCAAGAATGGTCTGCACAGGAAAGCTCTGTGAGCCACCAACTGTCACATGTTTGAGCTCTGTGAACTAACTACATACTGCAGCAATCAGAACAGTCTGTCACCGTGCTCAGATCCCAACTGGGTCCTAATGGTGTCAACTTGCCTTTCTGTTTCAAATGCCATCAGAGTAGCATTTGACTCATCCACACAGATGAAAAGCCCCAGACACACTACCTCTCTGTCTCCTTGACCGACTCCTCGGTGGTTTCCTTGTATTCGGGAACGGTGTCATTCGAGTCCATGCATACTTTCCCCACAAATGCTCTCTGTCCAAATTTATCTGTGAGGCACACAGAGAAAGAATCTGAGGATGGGTTTCTTTTTCAACACGTACTTTTTCTGTGGAGTCCAAAAACACTTTTAAATTAAAATTATCCTAAAAAAATGAGACTGTTAAGAATCATCTCTGCCAGGCCTGGGCAACCTGTGGGGCCCTGAGCTGTGGATCAGTGTCTATCCCTGGTATACAAACAGTCTTCGTGTGCCTATAGCACAAAGAGGGATGCTCTCTCAGCCTGGACTCTTAGGGGGAGTGCCTGGACCCTACCCAGAGTAAAAGGACAGACTCTAGATATCCCCTATGTGGAAGGATTTGGCAATAGGGTGGGAGGGTCGGGGGGAAGGGGAGTGCGGGAGGAGGAGAGGGAGAGGGAACTGGGATTGACATGTAAAACAAGCTATTTAAAATTAAAATAAAAATGATTAAAAAAAAAGAATCATCTCTGTCTTCACACTGTGACAATAATGAAGCCACTAATTTTAAAGAATAGTAGATGACTTTCACCCAGTCCCCAGCCTGCCAGAAAATAATTAGATATTTTATAATTCTTCTTTACCTTTTCCTTTTGATTATACACTTTGTCTACATTTCTACCAATGTCATAAATATCTTGACACTCATCTTCTTTCATGATACAAGAGGGAAATACCTCAGACCCTAGAAAATACATTCATATCCCCAATATACCAATTTTTCCCTTTTCCCCCATTCATTTCTCTTCCATCTGCTACTCTCCTGCCATCACTGGATCTAGTTCCTCGCCATGCATGGCATGGCCCTTTCTAGATAAAAGACAGCATATGAAATGTTGAGGATGTGGATGCTGGGTGATTGACTTGGATTTGATTCTTCTCCTCTGGGATTACCTGAGATGGCAGCTATCATCTGAGATCTAGACTCCGGTGTCTCAGAGTCCTCTGCTCTGTGCAGGATTGTAAGAAATACACAAAGAACGATGCAGAGGCTCACAGTACTCAGATGATGTGTCATTGCTCTTCCAGAGTGTAGCAGCATGGAGACCTTTATCACTGGCTGAAAGCCTATCAGCTGCTGGCAGTGAGGACCCTCAGGAGATGTTCTGCAGGACATCCTTCAAGCCATGCTATCTCCTGTCTCCATCATCAACATCTGTGTCCCACTCCTCTGTCCATCTCATTTCCTCATTTTAGCCTCCCCCCCCATTTTGTCTTCCATGCAGTTAAAGGCCACTTCCATGGAATTGTCCTAGACAGGCAGTCTTTGCCTCTTCTGAAAACTTTTGTTAGTGTTTACAGTGTCAGTCATTAGGCCTTTGGTATGAACTACCCTGGAACCCAATAGCAGGGTAAATACATCATCAGCCAACAGTGTTTACTGAGTGTCTGTTCAGTGTTAAGCACTGTACTGGGTATGTGTGGAATCATCACCCTAAATCCAGTCTGATTTTGCTTCCCAGCTCTGAGGTCTTAGATATGTGAATATCTTTGAGCTTTAGTTAACCTGTCTGTGCTATGAGGGCAGCAGTAGACATCAGAAGGCTACTTAGAGTGTTTTGCATGTTGTTTGGTACCTAGCAATAGAATCACAAGTATTACTAAACTAACACTGTGTTCCTAGCATCTAGTACAATGCCTTGAATGTATCTAACCACCAAGATCTGTTAATTATAATGCAATAAACTCTTGCTGTAGCTACAGTGATAAATGTGCTCTTAAAAAATACCCAAATCAGGCCGGGCGTTGGTGGCGCACGCCTTTAATCCCAGCACTCGGGAGGCAGAGGCAGGTGGATCTCTGTGAGTTCGAGACCAGCCTGGACTACCAAGCGAGTTCCAGGACAACCTCCAAAGCCACAGAGAAACCCTGTCTTGAAAAACCAAAAAAAAAAAAAATACCCAAATCAGCCGGGCGTAGGTGGCACACAGCTTTAATCCCAGCACTTGGGAGGCAGAGGCAGGCAGATCTCTGTGAGTTTGAAGCCAGCCTGGTCTACAGAGTGAGTTCCAGGACAGGCCCCAAGGCAATACAAAGAAACACTTTAAAAAAACCCAAATCAATATACAAAATTCAGATCTGTAATCATCATCCTGGGACCACAATCCATATAGAAATAATCAAATCATTTAAATAATAAAAGCCTACTTAGGGGTCAAGGATATTCCCAGACACTCAGTTACTTGCAAAGAGTACAAAGGCAAATGCTCAAATTCTAGATCCAAAGGCACGGCTTCCTACTGAGTAGGAACCATTACCAGGCATGATCTGGTTGTCTTTGCTTGATGTTCCCATAAACCCTGTTTTCAGCTGCTCACCTGTAATTTCCGCAAGGATCAGGGATGAGTCAGTGTGAATTGTTCCAAAGTAGCAAGCCGTGGTTGTGCCATTCTTTAGTGTTCTCCTCTAAAAATAAATCACAAAAATCCTGAATCACATGTGCTCAGAAGAGTCACATGGCACATACAGATGAAAATAGAAGTCTGCTTTTTAATTTTAAAATGTGTTTATTTAAAGGTATGCCATCTTGATGTAGAAGAGACCTCAGTAAATGGCAAAAGTATTTATATTCTAAAAGTGTGAGCTTAAGGAAAAATTGGTGCTTTAAATGTCCTGGTTGTGTGTTTCAGAGGTCATAAAATGTGGTGCCAATTAACTCCTTGTTCCTTAGGACTGTGTGAGGGTATTTGGATTTTATTTTTCTGTGAGTGTACAAATGGAATGTTTCTCTGTACGACAAAGTAAATTTATTCAACCAGACTTCTGCTTCCATCTGGCAGAACAATGATCATTCTGTCTCTTTTTTCCTTAGCAATTTTTTACTTGCACAATGATAAGTGAGAACAACAGGGTTTTTACCCCCCAAGAAAAACACAAGACGAGACAGCTGCAGAGGAGAACCCAGAGAAGGACCTGGAAGCTTTGAGAAGAGTGTGGAGCCCATGGGGGTGCTAGCAGGACACTGGCAGGAGTTATGCAGCCGCTTCCTCCTCCCTGTAGAAGTCACCCAATCACTCCTAACCTTCTCTGTGTAGTGAGTCACTCTGTAGAAACTGGCGAGTGTGGAAAGGGCACAAATCCCCCAAAATCAAGATGGGGAAGGGTTTAAGAGGAACTCTAGCTCATCTCCAGTGTCCTCAGTCACCCAAGCATGCCACTCCCACAGCTCCTGAAGACGCTGTACAATTCCTTCCCAGAGTAAATGGATGGCTAGAAGATATGATCTCACTATGACACCGGGAGCCATTCGGCCCCTGCAAAGTGCATCCTATAGTAAGGCTTATCAGTGTGAGGAAAGCCCTCCAGCCTGGGTTCTCTGTGAGGAAAAGCTTGAACTACATGAGAAGCTGTACTTTCACATTTGACTGGAATGAACTAAAAACACTCAAAAATTCATAAATCTATGCAAATTACAGTCAAGGGACAAGACAGAGAGAACACAAAGAGGGAAGAAGAGAAGAGGAAGGGGTGGGGGAGGGGAGGAAGGGGCATGAAGGAGAAATGCCAACTCTCTTAAGCAGAGGTCAACTCCATTCTAATCTCTGTCAGCATGTGTAGGCCTGCTCATAACTAGAACCATAGGGCATGTCTGGCTATATATATATATACACACTTGCCAGGAATAGACTATTTGAGCTTACTGACTTTAAATAACTACATTTATAATGAAGAAATATGTATAGACATTGCCTGAAGAATATATAATCCAAGTGTAAAGGTCTGATATAGTGGGATTTTCCCTTCCTTTCCTCTCTCTCTCTCTCTCTCTCTCTCTCTCTCTCTCTCTCTCTCTCTCTCTCTTTTTCCCTTCATTCTTCTTCTCTCTCTCCTACCCCTAACCACCTTTACAAATGTATTTTGACAGCATAATATCCATCCACATTAAGCAATGTCAGAATTAATTTTTTAGCTTCAGTATAAGGAATAGATGTGTTTTTATTCCAACAAATGTGAATCTCAAAGTCATACACAGTGTGAATTTAATTTCTGATTTCCCTGTCTACATCATGTTCTAGAAACAGAGCAAAATTTGTGACAGACTCTACCAAGAGAGTGCATTGATTTTGGGTTTTATTTCTCTATTCCCCTCCTTTTCCTTTTCTGTGATTTGATGACTCATTTTCTTTTGTTTCATACTATGCAATTTTAAGCAATTTCAACCCCCTTTTTAGAACAATGTGAGGTATAAATACATTTTGAGGATACAGATTTGGTGTCGTTAACACAATTCATTAACACAGTGTGTTAGCCAATTCATAGCCATCTTTTAGCTCTTCTCGGATTTTCTAGTGTCATGTGGATGCCGGTTAAAATGTAAGTCCCACAATTATAAGTGAGCAAGACAACTGAAAGAATGTAAGCACTCGCTTCTACTCTTTGAGGCTGGGATGACACAAGACAAAGAGCTGACAGGATGGCTAGGCCAGTTCATGTGGAAGGTGTGTAGCCAGACCAACATTAGAACACCCGTAAATCCAGTGAGTGTTCACGGCAGGAAGCAGAGGCCAGAGATGAAAAGCATTTGCATTTGACCTTTACTTCATACGGTTTTCCAGTTTCTGAGTGTACTCTTATTCTGGAGCTCGTTTTTGTGAAAGGGGAAAAATGGCCCATTTTTCCAGGCATCAGCACACAGTGGGCACGCACCGCGGCCACTGATCAGGGACAGACCTGGCTCCAGTGTTCCCACTAACACCGTCAAACCTCACATCACTTTCTCACCTGCTCTGCAGTGTGGGACTATCCTATCTTCCCTCCTTGCAAACCTCCTAAAACTACGTGGTATCCTCCCAAAAGCAATTCGAGATATAATGTTTCCTTAAACATTAAAAAAAATGACAAGACACAGCTCTTCCCATGTGCTAGGCACTACTTAAAGGATCTCAAAACTATTAACTCCATGGATTATCATAACAATTCATCACGTAGGTTCTATCATTATCTCTGAGTTTTACAGATGGGGACAGTGAGTCACAGAGCCTTCGAAAGGTCACATGGATATTCCATATGGTCGTCAGAACAGAACTATGAATTGGCTACAGTGAGAGAACACACCCAGAAGACAAGGCTAAAAGAGTGCTATAGTAGAACCCACTAGATTGAGACTAGGGTCATTACACTCACGTACTCTCCTTGCCACTGTGAGGGTGGCAGGCCAGTGGATTAAGAAAGGACCTAAAATGAATGTTGCCACAGTCTACCCCAGCTTTTACTTTTTTATAACTGCAGTTTGGTCCTAGAAATGAATGTTTGCATAGATGATAAAGCATTTCACAGCACCCACGTATAGAATACTCACGACAACTCTGGTGTAGACTTCTTCCGCAAGATCAGTGTTCTGGAACTTTTGTTCTGTAGGAAAGGTGTACTTGGTCAGCCACTCCAAAAGTGGCAGGTCTACGTTGCTTCCAGCGAAGGCATACTGAGGAGCATGGATGTGTGTATCAACAAGGCCTGGCATGAAGAACTCACTGGGAAGTAAGGAGAAGAAAATCATTTCAGAGCATCTTTAGACAAAGGTTTCATTTATTGTACCCATTTGCAACTCTAAGTTTTCTTACTTAAAGAGATCAGAAAATACGAAAAAGGTTCTACTAGAAGAGAGCACCTGAGCTGCAATGGAGACAGTGCAGGGAAGGAAAGCACAGAAGCCAAGCTGCTGTAGCAGAAGAGAGAGAAGCCATGACCATATCCTATGACAATGTTCTTACAACTGGACCAAGAGTAGAGGTGGGATTAGAGTCTTTAACCTTCAAGAACTGGACTGAGGGACAAGGACACATATCACAGAGGGGAAGTAAAGATGAAAAGCAATGACTTGAGGCTCAGTGGTCCTCTTCATCTTAGAAGTCTGCAAGAAATCCTGCCCTTTTCCATGTGCTCAAAGGCTGAGCTCTCAACAGAAACGTCAAGAACATGCCTGAGCTGCTTAAAGACACTTGATCTTTGCCAGAAAAGTGTAGAAATGAACTACTGGTCTGAAGGTGAAGCTATTGGCCGGGGGGGGGGGGTATCATGCTGTAACCACTATCCCTGCTCCGATTCTTTTCTTTGCTTTTTGAGACATGCTTTTGGTGTACAGCCCAGGCTGGCACTGAATTCATGTTTCTGCTGATTTCACCTTCTGAGTGCTGAGATGGTGGGCAGGAAACACTATGCCCAGTTTCCATTCGTGCTGCTGATCAGCTGTGCCTCCCCAGCCACATTTCCACTTATTTTTACATCAAGGAGGTCTGGATAGATATTCTTAAGTTTTCAGAAGCACTATCCACAGAAGGGAGGAAGGCAAATGCTTGTAGACATGTACAACTCATCTAAAGAGCAAATTCAGTTCCCCAGGGTATTCATTGCAGCAACTCATCCAAACACATGTCCATTAACAGATGATATTTACTACTTTCACCTACAACAACTGGAAAATCACCCATGGAACTTGGACTCAACACTTGACAGCACAAGGAAAAGCTCTTAGCCAGCAAATGAAATGCATCCATACATCCAGATACATCCATACATCCATACATACATACATGAGCAGCTTTAAAATGCTCTATGTTAAAAAGGAACTAGGATGTGGCAATGAGGCTGTGGTGCAAGCAGCTAACACTTACTGGATATGTACATGAACTGGAACTGGACACGGTTTCCTCTGAGCATTACGTCACTTATGGTGGGCAGCTTGCTCAGCAGTTACATATATGCATTCTAGATCAGCCTGCCTAAATGAGGACCACCATTAGCCAGCAGTGGTATATGTGCCATGTGATCTAGTCTCTCTTTTTCATCTTCACTATATGAAAAAGAGTGTTATGACCACAGGGTTGTGGGGAGTATGTTACTGCATACAAGAGTTGAAAGACCCCCAGAGTGGGGAGACACTCTCTCAAATTTTTGGATAAGCCAACACCCCAATAATTCAAGAGAGACCGTTCTTGGTGCAAGCACACGAGGTCTATTCGGGGGAACCAGTGCACCAGGGCCGAGCTCATGACCCTTGCAGGGGCAGAGGAGTTCAACCCCTAGTAACGGCAGTTGGGGGCTTTTTTAAAAGGAAGAAACCAAACTGGGGAGTTAAGCAAACATCATAAAGCATGTAAAGTTAAATGATAGCTTATGTCTTATAAGGAAGGTTATCTCAAGCAAGCATTTTTTAGGCATTGTACAGTTAAACATTGAGCAGGAATGTGGTGAGCTAGTTCCTGGATAAGGGAGGGTTATCTTTTAGGTTTATCTTGAGGTCTCCGGTTTCTCAGGAGAGGGCAGAAGGGCAAGTCACTCTGTGATGGGCTAGTCACTAGGGGTCTAAAAATGTTGAGTTGGGATCTCTCAGAGTGGAGCCAAGCAAATGAAAACATCGGTAATTGCCAGTGGTGGAGATGATGCTATGATCTCAGCATGTGGAGTAGGAGAGTGGTGTCCTCATTTGTATAACAATAAACATAAGCTCCAGAAATGCCCTTAGCTTGAAAAGGGAATCATTAATTCATGAGCTTTGGAGGGGCACCTTGACCTTGGCAGCTCCCCTCTAGGTTCAGCACTCTTGTTAGCCACACTCTATGTGACAAACAAAGAATGGCGACAACTTGTGAGTATGTAAGGAAGGTTATAATGTGAACTGTGTCAGTCACTGCCCTCTCTAATTACCTCTGTCCCCTCTGTCCTTGGGGCTCTTACTTCCTCTACCACCACAAAGTGAAACAGCTTTGAGGTCACATGCAGTTGGGTAATCTTCAGATGTTTCCCAAGCATGTTTAGGAAACTCTGTTAAGACTTGTGGGAAATTTATAGAGAAATAAGGCATCTCCCTGCCTTTAGAGGCTGCAAAATAGTTCAAGATATTAGGGGCATGTGTGTTTCAGAGAGACAGAGAGACAGATAGAGACAGGGAGACTGAGATCTTGTCACACAGAGGCTCTTAGTGAATAATTTCACCCCTAAGTGTCTACTCAGGAGAAATAAAATTTGAGTTTATAAAATTAGTTGTGCAAAATTGTTCACTGCAGCCTTGTTCATATTATGGCCCCAAGCTGGAAACAATATAAATAACTGTCATGGGAAAATACAGATAAACAAACTATGTCCCCATGGAATACTATTAAACAGGGAAAAAATGCAACTACTCTTACGATATTAATCATTACCAAAACATGATGTTGAGGGACCAGAGAGATGGCTCAGTAAGTAAAGTATTTTCAGAGTTCAAATCTCTAACACCCACATAAATACCAGGGGAGCATGGTGGCTCACCTTTAATCCCAGGACAGGGAAGGCAGTGATAAGGGATCCCCAGGACATGTTAGCTGAACTGATAAGCTCTGGATTTCAATAAAGGAGCCTTGCCTCAACAAATAACGTGGAGAATGGCAAACTCTGGTTTCTACATGTAGGTATGCATGTGTACATACACACATCCTTATATAAACACACAAAAAGAAGAAGAAAACATGAGTTAGGAGATTCCTGCAACCATGCACGAAGTTTCTGAATGTGTATCATGGTAATGGAAACAGAAGGCAAATGACAAATATGAGAGGAAGAATTTAATATTTTATCAGTCCCTAGGAGTAATTGTTACAAGTCAGGGAGATAGCTTGAGCACATTAGGGTGAACATACAAAGAACCTGGTTGGAGAATCAGGTTTGTAGGGTCTCATGATGTCAGCTTAAGCCAAATGTCAAAGTATGATGCAGAAGACTATTTCTTATTTCTGTAACAAACTACCTAAGGGTAGACACTTTGCTTTTAAAGGAGGTTTCTTTATATCACACTTCTAAAAATGTATGTGCATGATCTAGGAAAAAGCACACTTTCTTATATGACAACACACAGAGAACTATAAAAATAACTAGCTACATACAGAATAAGCCTACTGTATGGGGTAGAGTTACTTTAATAGAAAACACTCTCACAAAACTCCCTCACTTTGCAAGACCACCATCAATCATCTCCAACCAGGTCCCATCTCTCAAAAGTCCCACCACTTCTCAACATCTTCACACTGGATCCAACTTTCAAGGACACATTCAAAACCATATCTAGTCCCTAGCTTGTGGCCTCGAGGTGTATAAGAAGTTACTGAAGATGTGGGATAAGCGGTGACAAGAGTTAAGTGCAGGATTCAGGGTTATGAAGCTTCTCTACAAGCTGCTAATGCCAGAAATTTCTTTAGAAATAAAGAAAGCTAAATCTTGAGCAGAAGCATCCACTTATGGACAGAGGAAGAGAAAGTGATGATGACGGACATTGGCAGAACTGTTGTCAAGAAAATAGTGGGGAACTAGGACACAGAGATATCAGAGGGAGTGAAAAAGGAGGCAGGAGAGTGAGCAGTGACAAAAATAAATCTGAAGGCAAGATATGTGAAGTCTCGGAGAGACTGTAGCACCTTTGATGCAGTGAGCCCAGGGCATTCAACATCAAAGGAATTTACTCAGTCTGTGTTAGTTCTGTCCAAGGTGCTGAGATGTGATGCGCTCCAGATGTGGGTAATAGAGAGAGAGTTGGGCATATTTCATAGCAAAAGTGAGGATGGGAAGAGTACATGAGACTTCTTTTTTTCTGCAAGGAAAACCTGAGTGTCCTATCAGTAGAAAAGAGGCAAAAGAAAAGGAGGTGTTTGAGGATGCAGTCTTCAAGAGCAGAAGATGGGCTAGGAAGGACTCGCTGAGGCCTGAGTGGCTTTTACCCAATATTGGAAACACTAGGATGTGACATTAGCAAAGTCCAGATGCTCAAGAGTGAGCATTGGGTTTGCTGAGTTAAAGATGTAAGAGCATGCTGTGTGAGAGAAGCAGGTGGAACAAAGCCCTTAAGTATACCACCCCATTTTACAGACAGCAAGATGCAGCTCAGGGATGGTCACAGACTTGCAATTTGTCAATACCCTGGCCAAGGTGAAAAGTCTGGTCACTAGTCATAAAATGACTTCAGACAGAGTAAAAAGGTGGCCCACTGGCTGCACCAGACGGAGATGAAGTAGCTCTCCTCTCATCACTTTTCAACTTTTTCCATCCTATGTTAGTCAGCATAATTCCCTCAGAACATCAACTTCACATTTTATACCTGAAATAGTAGTCTAACCGTATAAAAATCAAGAAAAAGAGCACTATACAGCCCTATATACAGTAATCAGAATACCTACCTATCTTTTGTATTTTTTTATTTTTATTTAAGTTTTAAAATATTTTATTTAATTTAGAAACAATCTTATTTTACATATCAATCCCAGTTCCCGCTCCCTCCCATTCTTCCATACCCCACACCAACCCCCCATCCCAACCCCCATCCACTCCCCAGGAAGGGTGAGGCCTTCCATGGAGGAATCATCAAAGTCTGTCACATATTTAACTTTATTTTTGTACTACTGGGAATTAAACCCAATGACTTCATACATAACAAGCATGTCTTCTATCACTAGTCTACATCCACAGCTTCATGTCCCACTCCCCTCCCCCACACTTCTCTTTTTCTTTCTGAGGTGTGGTCTCAATATGTAACCCGACTAGTCTTGAACTTGCAGTCCTCCTCCAAGTGTGTTGGGATTACAGGTATGTGCTGGCCCTTTCCATGCTTCCACTCATGTTCTGAATAAATGGCAAACACCAGAAGAAGCCACACAACCAGAACAGCTCACTGCAGGCTAAGGCCCACATCACCCAGTTTGAATACCATCACTAATTAAACGAACTTCTCATTACTTCATCCTAAGGTCACTTTCCGAGTTTTAAACATATTTTCAGAATAAAAATGGTGGTGCCACTTTTATTGGATTTGGAAAGACAGTCTTCTGAAATTATATAAAGTATTTGAGCTTATAACAAGTGCTCTCATTTGTACAAAAGAAATCAGCCAGACTATGGAGACAGCCTAGCACATAAAACACATTTCATATGGATTATAAAGACCATTAAAATGTCAACTCAAATGCATTCTGTACACAGGTCTTCCCTAAGCATGCCATCAGAGTGGTTGTTTCTCAGACTGTTCCTTAATGGTTTCCCTGCTTTGTCCTCACCCTCCCATGTGCTTATATGGGGGCTAAAAGACTTGTCAAGATTTTAATAGTGCATATAAACTACCCAACAGATGTTTAATAAAGGACAGACAGCAGTCCCTGGTCCTCAAAGTTTCTGTCCTTTTCTCGCCCACTGGTGGCCAACTGCTTAACTAGCAAGCCTCCTCGGTCTCTCTATGCACACTTCTCATCACTTGAACGTTAGTTAGTACTGGCTCCCAGCAAAATGGAAGATGTTGGCAGAGACTTACTGGTGGCTCAGCTCTCTGATCTCACATGGTTTGAAGCACCACTCTTTGGCCAGTTTTTCCTGCTGAGATGATTCTTCTAAAAACACTATCTTTAAGAGAAAAAAGAAAGAATAGGATATTACCAAATTGTAACCATTTGTTGACACTAAACACACAAATGTTTTCCAAGGAGACTGTTGTTATACTGAGTGAATTTTTTTGGTTTTTTTCTAGACAGGGTTTCTCTGTATTGTTTGTAGGCTGTCCTGGGACTCGTTCTGTAGACCAGACTGGCCTGGAACTCACAGAGATCTGCCTGCCTCTGCCTCCTGAGCGCTGGGATTAAAGGCATGTGCCACCAACGTCCGGCAATGCTGAGTGAATTTTAAAAGGTATTTGGTACCAAATAGGATTGAGTTTGGTAGCAAAACAAAAATGACAGTGGTTTGCATTTGATCATCCATAAAAGTACAGTGTACACAACTTCTCCTGCAAAAATGTAGACCTGAGATTTCAAAGGTGTTCTTCTGTAGAGTCACAATAAGGGCAACAAGAGCACCATTTCTTCTTCATTAATATGGCTAAAGGAAACACTGTTGTGCAAAACCACCCAACTTCAACCTACTAAGATTGCTGTTAGCCTGTTATAGGAAACACTAACTCTCACTTTACAAGGCTACTGTGGAGACTAAGTGTGACAATTTTGGTAATGAAATTAGCTTATGCCTGGAACACAGTACATGATCAAGTGTACTGTGGCTGTTTTCTGTGTAAATAGATTTCTCAACAAGATAAGATAGGAAGTCATGAGTAGAATGCGGGAAATAGCCCCTGTCGGTTTGGTTTCTTTGCTTGCCTTGTTTTGTGGTGATAGGGCATGACGTGATAGGCAAGGTCTCAGAGCACTTCCTGTTTTCATTTTAGATGCAATATTGTGAGAAAAAAGTATTGCAGTAAAAATTAAAATTTGAGAAACCATTAGAAAATTAAGAATTGTCTACTTAGCGAAATAAGAATTAAGTTAATATACCTCAAGAAAAAATAATTGTGTAACTGAAAAAGAAGACATTGGTTTCTTTGTTCATTGAGTCATACCTTAAAATTGGGGTATTGATCAGAAGTAACTCCTAAGATAAAATAATTAGGTGATTATAGAGATTATACCTGAATCAATAAACATTTAAAAAGGAGGAATCAACACTCACCAGAGCCTATACCTAAACACCCATAAAATTAGAACTTAGCAATGCTTTTTCAGAAGTGGTCTCTTATAAACATCAGAAATAAATAGTATAACACTTCAATAAACATATTTGAAATATATTAGGAATAAATATTTTTGAGCAAAATAAAAATGGACAGTTTATTCTGGAGAGATGCAAACAAAATGGGGAAACTGAGGTCATTTTGCTACCCCTATGGAAAGCTAATGATCAACAATGACTTTCTATGATAAACACACCCTTGATGGATGCAAATCCTTATGAAATAACCTATTACATAATACATAACCCCTATACCTGACACCTTGTGATATTTCTCATGGCCTTTCCTGTAAACAGAACCAACTGAATGGCAGATGAACTAATTACTTGTCACCTAATAGAATATTAAAAATAACTGACAATACATACTTTAAATAAATAATTTAAAAGTACAAAGAATTGGTCAATAATGCTATAATAAAACTGTTCCTATCCACATTCTTCTGACTTATATGAAAATGGTTTTCAACACTGGTATCTATGAAAGTAGATAATAAAAAATTTACTTTGTGCCCACAGCCAGTAATACTCACTGACCCATTATGTAATTATAGGAAATAGCTTTTTATTTACATATAACAAATTACCTTTCAACACTTGTAACAGGCATTTTTAAATTCCCTCATGTTACTGGGAAATTTGAAATGTTTCAATTTATGCCCATGAAAGGTATAACAACAAATGTCTAATAAGACTTCCAAGAAGAAAATATACTATGTTAGATTAAAACTGTCTAAGGTATTAGACCAGGATTCATAACTCAGTAGGGAAAGGGGAACTGTATGGCATTTCAGACCATTTACAAGGAGAAAGTTCATATTTGGGTCTCAGTATGTCACTCTGGCGGGTCCAAAATTGCCATGTTGATTAGGCTAGCCTTGAAATCATAGAGATCTTCTTGCCTCTGCCTTCCATGTGCTGATATTAAAGGCACATGTTGCCATACTGCCCATTCCCCAATCCAGAACATTTTAAAGATTACTATCATGGTTTAATTTGAAGGAGTCCATATTTTAAATTTTCTAGAATTAATTGGCTCTGAATATATTTACATTTAACAAGTTATATATAGCACTAACTTTAAAAGTTTGAAACTTATACTGGTTTTTAAAATTCTTTGAGGAAGATGTGAAGTTTTCTTTTGAGTGTGAAGAGTGTTTCTCCAGGCAACTCATAGTTTCGGCATCCACAACACTGATTCTATATCTATCCTCTCTCCAAAACTTTCACTCCATGTTTCCTCAAAGCACACATACCACACACAGTGAAAGACCATATTCTCAAGGTTAGAGAAGACTAGACACGACTAAACAGAATAATGACTAAAGTAATGAAGACATATGTACCGAGTGGGAAATTATTCTTTATATAGTATTGAAGTATCTTTTTCAAAATCCAGGTTACTAGATACCATGCACATGTAATGACATTTTTGATAATAATATGGTATGGGTACAGGGATGGGTGCATACATGAACATGTGTATTGAAGGGATTATATAGGTATTAATAGTAGTTGTCTCTTTTACTTGCATATATTTTTTATTTTAGAAACAATCTTATTTTACATATCAATCTCCCATTCTCTCATCCTCCTGTCCTCCCATGCCCTCCACCAACCCCCACCCACCCACTACTCAAGGATAGTGAGGCCTTCCACGGGGATCATCAGAGTCTGTCACATCATTTGAGGGAGGGTAGTTGTCTCTTTATAGAAAAACATTGATAGTGACTTCACTCTCTTCTTCTCATCATAAAAATAATTCTACTCACACTGCCTAGGAGAATGTAAAATACGAACCCCTGACAGTAGCATCTAGTCTCCAGATGCAAAGCCTATGGCTGGGGAGTTAGAGCACACCAGATGGATGAGGAGTGATATGGACATGGAGGAGGAGGAGCATGCTGAGGCGCTTCCCCCATGCCATCAGAGGAAGAAAAAGTGGCATGGGCTGTGAGGAGCCGCCCTCGCTATCGCTATTGCCGTTAGAAGATGGCGCTGACATCCGCTGTCAGTTAGAGTTAACTGTCGCTGTCAGTTGGAGTTAACTGTCGCTGTCAGTTGGAGTTAACTGTCGCTGTCAGTTGGAGTTAACTGTCGCTGTCAGTTGGAGTTAACTGTCGCTGTCAGTTGGAGTTAACTGTCGCTGTCAGTTGGAGTTAACTGTCGCTGTCAGTTAGAGTTAACTGTCGCTGTCAGTTGGAGTTAACCGTTTAAACTGTGCCTCTCCCGTGACGTCATCTGGGGTGATGTGCAAACCACCAATCCCGGCTCTACACATCTCACTCGGAGCTCCTAGGCTTATATAAGGGGCTGGGTTTCTTAGCTTGGGGTCTCCCTCTAAGAAGCTGATCATCTATCTCTCAAGATGCATTAAAGCTTTACTGCAGAAGGATCCGAGTGTTCTGCGTCGTTCTTGCTGGCGAGACGGTAGCGCGGGACAATGGGCAGAAAAGGTCTCAAAGAAATGTCAGAATCTGAAAGTAATACAAAGGAATTGGTACTTGATAAATATCCAAGGTGGATGCCAAGAGATGGAAAGGGTAGTAACAGGAACAGAGGTGAGGTAGTGAAAAGCAACAAGAGGCACTTCAGATAAAGGTCTACTGCTGATGTTATGGGAGCATGAGGTTGGGAACTTTAATTCACAAGCCAAGTGTTTCATTGTTTTTCTTGCTCTTATTTGCATACTTGTTCATCCAATACCATCTGTGGACTGCTTATCAAGTAGCATTATCACAGGGATTGGGAGCAATAGATTCATAGTAAATATAACACCTATGACGTTTGATAGACAATAGAAAATGAATGTTGAATGGATTAAGGTTATGTGTGATGGTCTCTCAGAGAGATGCTATTTAAGCATGGATTTTTTTTTCAAGAAGGTTGGGGCGAGTAACTAGAATATTCTGAGAGCATCAGAAACTCAATACAGGATGTGTTTGCTATGTTCAGAAACACCAAACATACCAGTGGAGACTCAGCACAGGCACTAGAAAAGAGTGTGAGAAATCCAGACCAAGAATAACTAGGAGTTGTAAGCCATGTTCAGCCTTCAGACTTATCTTTAGGAAATCTCTAAAATTCGGGTGAAAATGCAGTTGATAACGTTCTTCATGATTAAATGTCTTCTCAGCCCCAGACAGTCTGGGTTCATGGTGCCATTCACTTGCTTGCTCACTCAAGTGCCTAGCATGGCCCTCAGGCCTTCCTCCTTACAGGCCACCTTCTCCATCTAAGCAAGTTGTCAATCACATACACAAATCATTAAAAACAAGGCTTCCTAAAACCAAAGAGAGCTCCAGCTGGCAGGGGCTTTCTCAGCCAAACTTAGTCTTCCAAACGAGGAACTGAAGTTCCTTCTGGTAAACAAACAAGCCCAAGTACCTCTTACTTGAAATGAGGGCTGTTTAGGATGAGCAGCATGATAATGTCAGAAACACTAAAGCCAAAAGCCGATGATGATGACTGTCAGCATACGACACAAGTCTCTGCAAGATACAGGCTTCAACACCAGATGGAAAATTTGGGCAAAATGCATGTTGCCATGGAGTAGAGTAAACTTGTGGACGATTGTGAAACAGCTCAGCTACACAGCAGAAGGGGATAGCTGTTATCTGTACTTGTCACGCAGACCTACTCAGGTGGCTGTGATGAGATAGAGGACCAGAGCAAAGGTATTCACCTCAGAGATTTCTGAGGCCCCTGGCAGAGACACACCCTGGTGTGTGAGTGCAATTCATGTCAAACTGATTAATGGGAAAAATGAGATTGGTCTGACAGACAAAAGTCAGCCTATCAAGGCAGAGTGAGGTTAAAGGTACCAAAAGGTGCCAAAGAATACC